CCATCCCCACTTTCCACCAGTCCCTCACAAGATTCATTTTTCACTACTTGCAGCAGGACAGCAGCTCTTTCTGCAGGAGACATGCGTAGTAGACAGTGACAGTAGTACAGGAGTAACAGTTGTAGTACTGGTACACAAGCCTAGAGCGCCCTCGTGCTGCTGTCAGTGTGAAATTTTTAATATATAATATATTTTAATATATAAGTCGCACTGGAGTATAAGTCACAGGAGGATGCAAACCATGAAAAAAAAAGTGTCCAAAAATAGTCAAAAAAATATGGTAATACATAACACTTGTATAGAGCTCGAACACTTCACATAGATCCAGACAGACACAGACACAAATGAAAGAAAGAGCTATAAACAGGAGATGCAGTTATTTAAAGGCAGTTTTAAACAGGTGAGTTTTCAGGGTCCGCAGCTTCTGCCCTAAATTGCTGTGTTGAGTTGATCTCAGTTTTATACTTTAGACTTTATTGTTAATTTGCTGATTTGGTAGAATGTGTCACTTTTAACTTGCATGGTTAGTCCAGAATGATATCTCTCTGTATTTTACAAAGAGGGATATAAATCACTGGTACATCTTATTCACCTTATTCCGCCCTGCCCATTTTTTGTCTCTAAACGCTCCTAAACCACACTTACTTATTGTAGCATTACTGATTAAAGAGCCCATTCATTTCAACTGAGAATTTGGGAAAGGTTTTGCAGTTCAAATATAATTTAAAGTACATTCGTTTGTGTAAAATGTTCAATTTTCATGAGCACCAACAAGTCACAGTGCACCGAGACTTAAAAACGACTTTGTCAAGATTAGCAGCCCCACACAAAGTACTACAACCCAAATGATGATGGCAGCAACAGAACAAGGTGAATACAACTTATAACAGATACAAATGTGTATTAGAAGTGTTCAAAAATCAATAATACAGTATCGATATCATAGGCTGCTGTATTGATATACTGCCAAGAAAAGAAAACTCATTTATGAAGAACACTGGACATGGAGTATTCATCGTTTTGAAGGGTGGTTTCATATTAACTTTGCACAGGCCTCTCAGCCATGATTTAGCCATTATTTTTTACTGAATCCTATCATATTGATTTCAAAAATATCGAATCGAAAGTGCACAGTATCAAGGTATCTATCATACTGGAGACTTCTGAAAGATACCCAGCCCTATGTCTCTAATAACTCAATAAGAACACTTACTACAGTAAATGAATTTGTTCCATTTCTAAGAATTTTAATTTAGTATTTTTCTGAGAAGTCTGTGTATGGGCTCTGACAGTGTGACATAATTTCATATGCTGAAGGCAAAAAATATATGACCTACAGTAAGAGTTATGACCACTGTAGTGTGGAGCAGAAATCTGTGTTATTTGTGGCTGCACACTGACACCTGCTGGATAAAACCTCTCACTGCACTAGACTAAAAGTGGGTTGGGAAAAATGTATTTTATTTCCTGCGCTCTTTCTCAGACAGTGCAGATTACATTACAGTCACAGGGAATGAGTACTGACAAATTGTACTCAAGTTTAAGTTCCGTTACATGGCTAAAATATAACTCAGTCACAACTACAATTTTAGCAGCTGTACTTTTACTTAAGTAATAAAATTGAGTGCACCACTGAACATCATGCAGAGTTAGAGCCATCTGTAGATTTCAGAATGATAAGAATCTGGTATCGTTGCCATGACAATTAACAGTTTTAAAACTTTTGAATGGAAAAATCCTCAGAATATTGCATGTAACAGAAAACGGAAACCCATGAATATATGAAGGATTACACTCGTGTTGTAGTACTCGAGACCAGTCTTGGTCTTGAGACCGGCCTCGAGACTGCTTTTTTAAGAATTTGGTCTCGTCTTCGGACTCGATCTTGTCTCGGTCTTGAAGGCACTTGTCTCGGTCTTGTCTCGGACTCTAGGTCTGACACTCGACAAATGCGATCATATTTCAAATATCACTGGAAAAAGGTAAAATCATGTAACAGTAAATGTAATGAACTTGAAAAACCCACTTGATTACCTTTGAAGTTTCTGTAAAGAAGGGGTTCAAACTGTGGATGAGGGTCTAAAAAGGGGCGCAGAGTGTTTAAGTGTAGTACAATTTGCTTAGCTTATTTTAGGCCTAAATGAACATTAACCAGATAAAATGGAGATAGATTTATAAAAACATTCATATTTATGTGCCAAAATAATTGTAGAATTGAATAGAATAGAAAGCGTTTATTGTCATTATAATAAATTTGTTTCAGGTGTTTTGTGGAGTGGGTAAGACTGTTTTTAGTGGCAGGATAACTATGGCCATTGACATGCACTAGCCTAGCACCAGCGACCTCTGCAAATACAAGGACTGGATGGAATATTTAAAAAAGTGTCTCCACACGTCTCCAACACTCTAGGAAATGAGGTCCTATGTCCAAAAGTCCGGACTGTCCATTTAATGACTTCTCCATCAAAAAACAAAGAAAGAAAGTAACATTATTGCTAAATATTCATGTTAAACAGTTTGCAGCAGAAAGTAGTTGGAAGGGAATCTGTGAAATCTCATATTATTGTGCACTTCTGGAAAAGTTTTTGATTTTTGGCTGGGAGTTAGGTATGGGCCTAAGGGTTTTAAAAATCGATGAATACAAGTTTCCCAATGGGAAAAGGTTGTATCCCACCTTCCTTTTGTCCTAAATTGTTGTATAATGACACTTTTTCTACTTGACTTGATAAAAGGAATGTGATTTCAATATTATCTTCCTACTTCAAGGCCATTTTCATGTCAAATTTATTGTAATGGTCACTTTTTGCTTGAAAAACGGTCCAGATCTGTGAAATGAAATAAAATATTGTATAAAGATCATTCAGGCCTCTAAACCCATGTGTACATTCTTAAAGAATAATATTGAACATGTTACTGTCATTCTGTCATTCTGTCAACATGTTAAAAATATTGTTTTGGAAAAGCCTTCACCAGAAACTGTCTATTTCTGAAATCAAGTCAAATAAAGTGCAGTAATTGTTTCCTAGTTCTATGAAACATTTCAGAATGTGCTCGATCAGTTTGCCCAAGCTTTGCCATCGGATTCAGATGGTTTTACCAGAATGTTGTAAAGCAGCGGTTTTCAATAGGTGAGGCCCGCCTCCTCTGGGAGGCACCAAAGAGCCACTGGGAAAGCACAACACACTCCAGGACTGAACCAGGAGGACTGAACTAGAACTAAACCAGGACTAAACCAGGAGGACAAAACCAGGACTGGCTTGCGTAAACCGTCGGGTGACCGCAGGCAAAAGGACAGGTGCAATTTTTCAGGTGTTTTGCAAATTATGAAGTAACCATGTGCCTACTTCTGGCTCCACTGAATTCACTTTGTATTGAAAAACTGTCGCCCCTCTCTCTGTAACTGCAGCAGTGAGCTTTGCCATTTTGGTCTCCCTCTCTGGAGACTCCCTCTCTGTCTGAGATCGATTAGTGGCCGCTCCATAGGTACTGCAGCTCCCGGGAGCTCCAGCCCCGAAAATATTGTCCCATAGTACGCAATACATTTTTTGGGAAATCAAACTGCCCGTGGGGCATTCACAGCTTTCATGAAGGTCAGATTTTGTAGGGCTTATTCTGTATTTTTACAATATGAAGTTTATTACATTTTAAATACTAAAAAAAATAAATAAATACGTTTTTTTTACGTGAAGTAAGGGTGGTGGCAGGAGGGAGGAGCCTACAGTTCCTATAATCAGACAGGTGGGGGAGCTCTAGCGGCAGATGTGGAAGCTTGCCTGGACACAAGGCCTCCAGTTGTTGTCTCATTTTATGCCAGTGCATTAAATATTGGGTTTTGTAGATTGCTGCCCTCTGTGTGTAGAACTTTACTGGACATTATCAAACCTTTATTAAACCACCATTAACTGTTAAAATCTATCTATCTATCTATCTATCTATCTATCTATCTATCTATCTATCTATCTATCTATCTATCTATCTATCTATCTATCTATCTATATCTATCTATCTATCTATATCTATATATATATATATATATATATATATGTGTGTGTGTGTGTGTGTGTATAAAGTGTAATTTGATGAATGTCTATAGATACTTGTGTACATGTGCACACATATGTGCAGGTGTAGCCATGTGCACTCTGTTGTTAAACGGCTCTAAATGTACATGTGAAGGGAGCACCTTAGCTTCACCAACCAAAAATATTTGATGCGCCCCTAAGAAGAATTGCCTACATGCAAGATTTGTGTGTTAAACATGAGTTAAACTTATGTGCTTGTGTTGTTTTGCTGTACCTTTGGTGCATTAAGGAGCCACAGAACACAGCAGGAACTTTTGGAGGCACTCTCCCTTTAATCCACTCCATAACGGCTCAATAGGAACTTAAATACAAGCAAAATATAATTACAATTGTAAAAATGAACAGGTTACACATGTGTGAATGACATTAGTAACAACATTATAACATAGATCAGAAAATAGCGTAATATGGGCCCTTTAAACCAGTAGGCCTACCGTGTCTTTTAATTTGACCAGTGTAATTTTCCACAAGAACTGCAGATGGTGCTGTTGTCCTGCCAAAGACTGCCAAGGCCAAAACCGGTGTAAATTAGCCATCAAAAATAACAATAACAATAACAATAATAATAGTAATAAAAACTTGATTTTTTTCGTAAGCTCCTAAATATAACGTTAACAATGTTTTAGTGAAATTAGTAGTTTATTATACACTTCAGTTTGTCGTTTGCGCCCTTCCTCCATATGATTTTTCTAGAAAGTCAAATCGATAACAGGACAGGGGTGCGTCTTGTCGATACACTATTAAAACGATGGCTTTTTCAACCCCTTTACATGCTTGACTCATTTAATTTAGCCGTATTTTGTATATATTGAATGAGTTCCTAAAATATATAAAAGAAAAAACATATTAACTATGCCGTATCCCCCGCTGTAATCCTTTCCCACCCTTTAACTGTCGCAATGGTTCAGTCCAGTGGATCCTCCCATTAGCGGCGCTGTCTTCATGTGCTTAGCTCTTGCCGCACACGCCAGTCGAAATAACTACATTATAACGATCTAGTGGCCTTTTTTCTCATCCATTTCACGTCCATTTTGTCTGCAACATGTCGGCCCCCAAGAAAGGAGACCTGTCCCCGAGTGAAAAGGAACTGTTCGAGGTGATCACAGGAGGTAAGCCTCTTGTGCTAAAGCTAATCCCTATGGAAAACACAGGGCTGGCTAGCACCTGTTATCATCCGTGGTGTGGATTTGGAATGGTTTGTTGTGTTGCTATTTTATTTATGCGATTTGAAACTTTGAAACATTCCCACTAAAGCTAAGAAAGTCCAGTTAATTTTATTCAGGCATGCACCCCTCTAAATTATTACTTATAGCGTTTTGATGATTGTTTTTTAGTGATGTTTAAAAAAAAATGGATCTGTGGATTTTGGGCTTTTTGGGGTCACATATAGTTTTTTTTTTTTATTATTACCCAGGATTACAAATTTAACAGACTTTACCAGCTAGGATATAATATTTGTTACTCTTATGCATGTGAAAAAATTCGATGTGATTTTAAATGTGACCAATGCAGGTTCTTTAAAGGTGCATTGTGCAACTTTTCTGATGAGGTGTCTGTCAAATGCTTTTCTCCATGGAAAGGAAATGTTATTGGTTTGTTAGAAATGTTTGACAGCGTGGCTTTAAACCTGGCTATCTTAATGGAGACCAAACCAGCCCAAATTACAGGTCAGATCTGTGGAGAGGTGACCCCACTCACAGTAAGAATGCCTGTTTTCTAGGTATTTTTGAGCTATAAAACCACCTGTAATTGAATAAATGTAAGACAGAGCTGTTTAATGTCATACTGTGGAACATTCTAGGCAGAGCAGTGACATATCCATAGAAACAAGCAGGTGATGGACCCCCAATCGAAAAGTTACATAGTACCTTAGTACCTTTAAAAGCAAGCCATTCTTTTCTGACATTTCAAAAGAACTCATCGGGATGTTTTATGGAAATGAAAGCTGCTGTCATAATTAAAAGTGTGATGGTCCCTTAGTAATTTTATTTAGTTTTACTTTTTTTTGGTTCATTTATATTTCCTCTATAATATTTAAGCTGCCTGTCCTGACTGTTAATTGCAGAACATTTTACTTTGCCATAATGATGTAAATTATTTTGTTAATTAAAAAAACAAACAAACAAAAAAAAACCTAAGTCTCTATATATCATTTATTTTTAAAATTTTATTATTATTATTTACTTGCTTAAAGGGCCAATATTACGCTATTTTCTGATCTATGTTATAATGTTGTTTCCTCATCAAAAACATACCCGGAGTTGTGTTTTGTTTTATTCACATGTTCACAAACCTTGAATATTTCTTCTCTCAATCCAAAAACACTGACTCTGTTCCACCTTGTGATGTCAGGAAGTGCTCCACTGTGTTTTTAAACTACACACATTCACTAGATTCTTTTGGATAATTTCAGCTCTGGAACTGCCAATCTCTACTGAGGTAAAAGTAAAAGATAGAACAGGTATGTTTTTGATGAGGTAACAACATTATAACATGACTTAAAGCTCACTAAAATCCATTTTGTGTCATATAGGATCTTTTATTGACGTATGACATTAACCAATCTTCGCATCACACTAATGGCTCACAAACTAAACTAACCCTAGCATGAAAGCTTGGTTAAATCTGGTGTTGTCTTCTCATTTATTGTATTTTGTCCTTGTAGGAAACGTCCAGGAGGCGTCACGACTGTTGGGATGCAAAGATGTGCGAGTGAACTGTCTGGATGAGGTAAATGAAACCGTATGGAAGATTAGCATGTACAGCCTATAGCAGTTTCAACTCAAACTAATTACATTACCTTTTGAAAGACAAAAATGACCGGTACTTAAGTCGCTTCAGTTGTTTGAGGATGGAGAGTCATAAAGTTGTAGTGACCACATGTGAAAGTGAATATGACTTTCAAATTTTGACTTAATTAAAAAAAAAATAAAATTATTTTGTGACAATCAAGAGGCAATTTTCTATTTTAAGTTGAAAAACATGTTGAAAAATACAGGTAGAGAGTTCTAAATGAAAACCATAGACTGTATATGCTGCTGTGTTCCAAAAATGAAGTGATCATGAGCATGTTTACGGCACCAACGAGTCTGACCCCAATTTACTTTCTATTGAAAAACTCTGCACTTCTCCCTGTAACTGCTGCTCAGACTCTGGTCGTTTTGATCTTAAAATGTTAGTTTTAACCCACAGTGTCCGGGGTGGACCAGGTTTCAAAAACTGCTCAGTGCGTGAGCCGGGTAGCCACAAGAGCAGACAACTTAGGACACTATGGTGCTAAGTATTGTAAATGCACAGTAAAATGAATAAATACAAAATTATTACAGTAGTGTATTCCATGTATTTAAATAAAATCCGCTCTTTTTGTACACTTAACAAGAAAAAAGTTTTTATTATGAACAATGGTGGAAGGTAATAAAGTACAAAAGGAAAAGTACAATACTTAAGTACAAATTCTAGGTATCTGTACTTAAGTCAGTGTTACAGTGGATACTTTTTACTTTTACTTCACTACGTTTGAGAGAATGTATCTGTAATTTCTACTCTACTACATTTTAGATTTGGGCTGAAAAGTAAAAACTACTTTTCTTTATGGTTTGAGATCTACTGACATGGCTGAGACTTACTTTTTAGCACATTTCATTTGAGATAACGTTCCAACTAACCAAATACACAAAAAGGCAAAAAAAAAAAATTAAGAAACCAACTGAATCATTTAAAATCCGCTAAATTCTTTATCAAACCTTACAATTTTAAATTTTTAAACATGCACTTTAATACTTTTACCTAAGTAGATTTTCTCATGTGATCCTTTTGCTTGAGCAGCATCTTCCTCTGTTGCTGTACTTTTACTTACTTTAACAAAGTTCTGTACATCCACCACTGATTATGGATGAATGATTCTGTATTCTACTTAAGCATTTGGCCAAAACAACAATTACAATATTATCATTTCTTGGATTTGTCTACCACCTTTGTCGATATGTTTCGTTGTCGTCCTCCGTTGTCTGTGAACACCACGTTACTATAGCAACAGCTTTTGTGTACGAGCCCGGGTGCCCATATGTGTGAGATAAGAGCACTCGTTCACCTGAAGAGGCTCTGGGGCCCCATGTCACAAACAGGAGACTTTCAGGGACCATTGTATTTACAGGGTTAATTAGCAGACAGTGGAAGAGGGCAGCAGCAACATATCAGAGGTTAATCAGTGTTAATCAATATTTTGTGATTTTAAAGGTGCATTGTGTAGCTTTTTCAGTGGAGGGTTCATCAGATGTTTTTCTCCATGGAGATGCTATTGCTTTGCCCGTAATTTTTCACAGCATGGCATTAAACCTTACTATCATCATGGAAATCAAACTAGACCAAGTTACAGGTCAGATCTGTGGAGAGGCGACCCCAATCACAGTCACAATGCCTGTTTTTCTTGGTACTTTTGAGCTATAAATCCACCTGTAAGTGAATAAATGTAAAGAAGATCTGTTTAATGTCATACTGTGGAACATTCTAGGCAGCACAATGAATCAAATGAATTAAAATAAACAACTCCCCACTTATTTTTATTTGTAGAATACTTCATTTTGTGGCATTGTTGTAATATTTATTATGCCTCAAAACTAGCATAAGTGTTAGAATCTGTATCTACTTTACTGAGGTAAGACAAATTTTGCTCAGATGTGTGGGGCACCTTTCATTAAGATCCCACAATGTAACTTATTAGCCAAAATATTTACATAAATATTTGCATGTATTTTCATTATAGCTGATTTTACTAAAAGCACTAAAAGATTGAGAGTCATGCAGATGATGTGGCAAGTAAAAATATGAGAAAACATCACAGACCTGGAGCTGTGTTTTGTTTCATTCATACATGTGTAACACAGAAACTGCATATTTAGGCTGAATTCTTCTCTCAGGCAGAAAACACTCTGTTCCACTTTGTGATGTCATGAGGTAAAACAGGAAGGGTTCTACTCTACACCTTCACTTGAATCATTTGGATAATTTCAGGTCTGGAATTGCCAATCTCTGCTGAACCAAAGGTGAAAGGAACTGTTAAAGGTAATTTGAAAACTACCACTACATGACATCACAAGGTGGAACAGAGCATTTTGAATTTTGGAGATGGAGACAGAGTAATAATAAACGATTAATTAAATATGTGTGAATTAAACTAAACACAACTCCAGGTATGTTTTTGATGAGGTGACAACATTATAACGTGAATAAAACCTCACAAGAGTCAATTTTGCATAATACTAAAATAAAAAATCCCAGTGATTTCCCCACAAGTATTTTTTCCTTCAAACATTCAGGATTTCAAGCAGAAGCTGTTGTGTTTTGTTCTCTAGTATGGGATGACTCCTCTGATGCACGCTGCTTACAAAGGGAAAGCCGATATGTGCAAACTCCTGCTTCAACACGGAGCTGATGTGAACTGCAATCAGCACGAGCACGGATACACGGCACTCATGTTCGCAGGCCTGTCAGGTATTCAACTTTAGCAGCATGCACACTACCACTCAGAAGTTTGGACTCAGCCTCTCATTCAGTATTTTTTTTTCTATATGTGTACATTTTACACTTTAATATACATACAGAAGACATCAAATATTTGGTAACTTTAACCAGTTGATGCTCCACTGTCTATTATAATGAATGTTTTATAAATGTGTTTGTTGAAATCTGTAATCTGTTGAACATGAGTGAAAGCTTTAACACTTTGGCTAAAACAAGAAAACTCGTATAATGGAGTCGATGGGAAGTGTTATCCAGTTGAGATGCTGTAATATTTTAGGATGTTGTACTTATCATAGAGGTGAGACAATCCCCCACATTACCGTGACCTATTACTGTCTTTAAGCTCATTAGCAAATTTAAATTCTACAAAAATATGTGCATTATCCAGTTGTCTGAATAGTTCTGAAGCTGAGTACGCAGTAAAACACAATGGTTCTGTCAAAAAAGCTGATCAAACCTGAGCAGTTTCTTTTCACTTATCCCTGCACAAAGGCTGAGGCTTTACTTTCGTCAGTTTGAGTTTGAGTTTGTGACTTTAGAATGAATCATTGTAGTTTTAAAAGGGTGGTAAATATCCAAGGTGTTACCCAGTTGACAAAACATTTTTGGCTGACCATATATTAAAGTATTCAGTACAAGCACTTTGCTAGACATACAAGACATCAAATATATTAAGATGTATGGAATGGAATTATGTATCAGAGGAAAAATACGTAACTATATATCATTTTTTTTATATATTTTATAACCAAATCTTCAGATTACCCACCCTTTTGCTTTGTTGAAAAATATTTGTAACTATTTCTCTTTACTAAATCATTTAATGTATCTTGCTTCATACATTTTGACGCCTTGTGTGTGTATATTGAATGTAGAAAAAACATAAACTTATAGAAAAAAAACACTAAATGAGAGGCTGAGTGTATGTCAATATACAAATTGCAGTCCCTCTAAATTCTTATTTTTCTGCCTTAAGGAAAGACTGATATCACCGCCATGATGCTGGACGCTGGAGCAGAAACAGACGTGGTCAACTCTGTGGGTAGAACAGCCGCGCAGATGGCAGCTTTTGTAGGTACGGTTAAAAGTGATGAGTTACTTCTTAGACTATGTTTATGGGGATCTGGTTAAACAGATGTATTCTTTTCAATCCACAACTTTATGTATCCCAAAGGACAATGGTCATGTCAAGAATAACCACTAATAAAAAAATAAGATGAAGGTATTAATGCTAAAAATTATGAATATTTTAGTTAGAATTTCCTTCTTTGTCAAATAATAAGGAAGAAGTGGTTATGTTTCAACAACTTAGACTTGTACAAACTTTATTGATCCAAAAGGGAAATTCCTTGGACAAAATAGCTCGCACATCATAATATATTATAATAACAAAGAGCAAAATAAATTCTAGAGAAGTAGCAAAAAAGATAGCAAGAGCCACTTGTCAAATAAGGCATAATGATATAAATGTGTATGTACAAGAAAAAATAAAAGAGAAAATAAGTAATAAAAAATATCTCGGCTATATACAAGAGGCCGTAAGGAAAACAGTACAAAGATGATAACATAATTGACAGAACTAAGGTTACCTGTTATGTAAGGCTGTTGTAGTTGTATTGAGTGTGGTTTTAATGTGTCGCTCAAGAATGATTGGAGATGAACAAAACTGATTTTACGACGGTATTTATATTTGTTTGTGTGTTTTGTCGTCAGGTCAGCATGACTGTGTGACGGTGATCAACAACTTCTTCTCCAGAGCCAGACTGGATTATTACACCAGGGCCCAGGGGCTGGAGAAGGAGCCCAAACTGCCCCCGAAACTGGCCGGCCCCCTGCACAAGGTCATCATGAGCACCAACCTCAACCCGGTCAAGGTAAACAAAACAGGGATTGTAACTGAAAACCTCACGGATACAAATGATTAGGGATGGTCTGGTATGGAGTTTGGATATGGATTGGATATTTGTTGATATTTACCACATTTATGTTAAATTATTGTGCAGTTTACAAATTAACTTGGTTTTGTAACCAAATTAACTTAAAATGTAAATACTGTATTTTTCAGACTATAAGGCACACTTAAAATCCTTTAATTTTCTCAAAAATTGACAGTGCACCTTAAGTATTAATCCTGGTTGTGCTTACTGACATTGAATTGATTTTCTGTGGTACACGGCGCTCAAAAATCTGACAAAATGTTTTAGTACGACTTTGGTAAGAGACAAACCTGCGCAGTTTGATGGACTGTCGGAGCATTACAGCTGCCATAGTCAGGAGCCTCGCGGAATGTGTCCTTTAGTCTGACAGAAGCAGAACTTCATCAGCGCACAAGGAGCAAGCAGTTTTTTTGTTTTTGTTTTTTTTTCAGTGCTTATAGTTTATGCAAATTAGCCTTGTCGTTTTAAGTTTCGCTTATGTACAACGTAAACAAATGTGCGCAAAGCTGCAGTAAACATATTACTCATTGTATATTTGAGTCCTCCTCATAGGAAATAAAAAAACAAACTTAAATGATCCACCCACATTCACATTCATAATACACATTCACCAAGACAGGGAGGCGATGCCGGGCGAATTACACCACGATCTGCCAATGGATCGTGGACGCCTGGGCTAAGGGATCAGTCTCAAGTGTCATCCGTTTGTTTCGCTTAATGCACCTTATAATCTGGTGCACCTTATGTATGAAAATAAACGAGAGAATTTAACATTATTGATATTGCGCCTTATAAACCGGTGTGTCTTACAGTCTGAAAAATACAGTATGTAAAGATTATAGTCAAGATGGATAATTTCCACCTTCAGTCCATTGGAAGGTTGTCAAACAGTCACAGGACAGGGAAATGTACAGCAACAATCACACAAAAGCAAATGTGACACCAGCAAACTTACGATACACACAAATATAAGGCCATTTTATTTGAAGTTGAAAGTTAAACCAACAACCCCTAATATAATTTTGTTAAACATCGCAACATATTTGACCATCACACATCCACTGTTTTAAAACTTTGTGCAACATGAGTGAAACTGGTGGCATTTTCTAAAGAGACAAAACTATGACTACTATAACAAACAGATGGGGCAGTGCAGAGAAAATATTGGTGCCAAACATCAGCTAACATTTTCATGCTGGGAAATGCTTCGATATGGGGCGATAGTAGCTCAGTTGGTAGAGCATTCGCCCACTGATCTAAAGGTTGGCGGTTCGAATCCAGCTCTCAACATAAACATCACAGGCTGAGCAGTCAGATCCACTGGTTGGCTGGTGTGATTCCAGCTCCCACAGTTGAATGCTGTCGTTGTGTCCTTGGGCAAGACACTTAACCCACCTTGCCCACAGTGTCTGCGTACACTGGTGTGTGAATGTGTGTGTGAATGGGTGAGTGGTTCCTTGTTGTAAAGCGCTTTGAGTGCCTTGAAGGTGGAAAAGCGCTATAGAAAAATGTGATAATTTTCCATTTACCATATTGCTGACAACCTGTGTTAAAAACAGTTAAAGATCACATTTGTATACAGTGCTTTTCCACCTTCAAGGCACTCAAGGAACCACCTACTCATTCCCACATATATTCACACACCAGAATACACAGACATGTTTATCGTCTATACTTATTTCAGCAACATATCACATATTCAAAGAGTGTCATGGTGACAGGCCTAACTGTGGTGTTTGTAGATGGTGCTGCTGGTGAAGGAGAATCCCCTGCTGGCCGAGGCTGAGGCTCTGGATAAGTGCCGGAGGGTGATGGAGCTGATTTGTGAGAAGTGCATCAAACAGCAGGACATGAACGAGGTGCTGGCCATGAAGATGCACTACATCAGCTGTGTGCTCCACAAGTGCTCCGCCTTCCTCCGGGACCGAGAGGACAAGCTGGACGGACTCATCAAGTGGTGGGTACACCTCACGACTGTTACCACCAGTTACAAATACATGTACTGAGTATACGCACTCAGAATAGAGATATATTGGGCCAGTATTTGCACTTTTTTGCGTATAGCTATCTGCCTTGTCTTATCTGTCTTGGCTGGTATTTGGTTCGAGCCTTTGAATGTGTTAAGAAGTGGACTAAGGGAGTGTGACTTCACCCATAGAGTTCAGCTCCAAACACACGAATCTCGCCATGCTAAAGGTTACAGGAGTGAATTTCGAGACATGCTCTGTATTTTGAGCAGTATTTTTTGACAGACAAAATAGCAATAAAAACAAAAAACAAAACATCAGGATCATGTAGAGCAGGTTAATATGAACATTTTAAGACCAAATGACGAGGCTCACAGCAGGGGTCACAGAGAGAGTGGTGGTTAAGTCCATTTATATATGCAGTCAATAGTTTGAGCTCAAAAATTTCTGCCTAAAGAATCTGTATATCAATCATTCATTCATTAATTTTTTCAAAATAAAACCAAAAATAAGAAAACGGAAAAACAATTTTCTTCATTATTTGTCTTCAAAACCAAAAAGAAAAAATGGATAGCGATTTGTTTCCTGTTTCTGCGGCTTAAACTGCGATGCCGGACTTTTGCTCCGCATATGGACTAAGACAGGACTAAGACAGGACTAAGACAGGACTAAGACAGGACTAAGACAGGACTAAGACAGGACTAAGACAGGACTAAGACAGGACTAAGACAGGACTAAGACAGGACTAAGACAGGACTAAGACAGGACTAAGACAGGACTAAGACAGGACTAAGTGTCCGGTCCCGGTCTCTGTTTAGTTTAGTTTTACACTTTATTGCAATGATGGCTGTAACTCACTGTGACTGCAACTTGATCCTATTAATTCTATTGTTTTTGTTTTTATTTGTATTGTTTTATGCATTGATTCATTTTATGCTCATTAGAGCATAAAATGAAAATAGCTCAATGACGAGGTAGAAGGGTTTATTTAACAAAAATGAAAAAAAAAAGTATCTCTGTGTTAAGAAAAATGCTCTGTTTCAGTTGGAGGCAATGGAGGCACATTACTCACTACAACATCAAGACTTACAACACATTCACTATTATACACATTTCATTGTGGACAGTGTACAAGTGGACAAGTGTAAATACACAGAAGTACTTGAATTAGGGTACAGTCTGATTTTTATGCTCTGTACAGTTGACCTATGTGTTCGTCCCCTGCAGTTTGCTGAAGGGCAGAGACACAGATGGATTCCCGGTTTTCCAGGAGAAGTTTATCCGAGAATCCATTCGGAAGTTCCCTTATTGTGAAGCCACTCTCCTGCAGCAGCTTGTCCGCAGCATCGCCCCTGTGGAGATCGTAAGTCATGAAAAACCTAAATTACACACATATAGATACATATACATATACATGAGAGAATGGATACTTTTCTCAGGTCAAAGTTTAGTTAAAACCACTTACCATCCACCCGCCCGCCAGCGGGCGATTTTCCCAAAAAAAATTTTCACTCTGTATTTTCACCTTCATTATTGTTTTCACTACTGGCATGCCATACATCGTTTGAAAGCTTAGTTTCTCAATAAAACCACCATATCATTCATTTTATGCCATACAACGAGCCCAAAACGCGATAACTTAAAAATTCACATCATAATCAGAGAATAAAATACGCGTTTCTTACCTTTGAGCCGGTTCTGTTGGTCCAAAATGCGTTCAATCCATGAAAAGTTGTACTCAATAACAAATTATACAACAATACATACTGTGGCTTTAACTCTTTCCCCCTTGGACGCCAACTTGGAACAACTCATACATATATCAATATGTATGAGTTGTAGTGGCCCCCACCTATCACTGTATCTGTTTACATGTGAAAAACCGAGTCATTTCTAATGGTCGTCAAATCACGTCTTTAGTGATACAGTGGAGGTGTCAAAAGACGTCATTAAGGAAACAAGGGAGGGTCGTCAAATGTCGTCTTCGTGGGGGAAAGAGTTAATAACCATGGCTTATTCAGACAAAGTGGCAAATGCTTTATGTCACCCACCGCTCAACATTTTTAACCCTTTTGGATGTCAATATGAAGCATTTGTACTAACAGCTCACCTGTTGTGTTCTCTGTAGGGTAATGACCCCACGGCCCTGTCAGTGCTGACCCAGGCCATCACAGGACAGGTGGGCTTCATGGACACTGAGTTTTGTACCTCGTGTGGAGAGAAGGGCGCAGAGAAGAGGTGCTCCATCTGTAAAATGGTAAGGCACATCACAGAAACAAAGCGAAATCAGTTTATCTTGGTCACAGAATTGTTTTATTGTTATTATTTTGTATATTATTTTAATATTAATGGCCCTATATTACACAAAATTGACTTGTCAGCTTTTAGTCATGTTAGAATGTTGTTGTTACCTCCTCATAAATAAACCTGGAGTTGTGTTTTGTTTCATTCACAAATATTTGAGTCAGGAAGCAATAGTACAATTCAACAACTACTTTTTACCTTTTGTTCAGTAGAGAATAGAGTTTACAAATGCATTGGACACTTCCTATACCACAATGACATCACAAGGTGGAACAGAGTGTTTTCAGTTTGAGAGATGAGCCTAAATCTGCAGGGTTTGTTTGTTAAAGGTGTGAATGAAATGAAGAAGCACAACTTCAGGTCTGTTTGTGATGAGGAAACATCACAAACATTTTAACATAGAAAATAGCCTAATATGGGCCCTTTTAAATTTAGGAAATATTCTTTTTTTTTTTTTTCTTTCTACATATGGAAGAAATCAAATATATGAAGCAAGATATATAGAAAGTACAGTGTGGCTAGGATTTGAATACCAAATAGAAAAACATATTTAGTACATTTATTAAACTTTTTTTTCCCCTCATTTCTTCTATATACAGTATCTTGCTTCATATATTTGTCTTTTGTGTGTAAAGAAAATGTAGGACATTTAAAAGATAAATAAAGAAAAATACATTAAATGAAAGGATGTGTCCAGACTTTTGACTGATAATGTATCTAAATGTGCTTTGCTCCTCAGGTGATCTACTGCAACCAGACGTGTCAGAAGCTGCACTGGTTCACACATAAGAAAGTGTGTAAAAAGCTCCAGGAGCAGAGGGAAAAGCATGAGGCCGAGGCAGCCAAACTCAGACAGCAGCAGAACAAAGGTAACAGCATCTGTGGAACATCAAGGTCCTGTATTAGACATCATGGATTCTTGTGACCTTTAAGCCATGTTAGAATGATGCTTCCTCCTCAAAAACAGACCTGGAGTTGTTTTGTTTCATTCACATATGTTTGAGTAATCCTGTATTATTACTCTGTCTACATCTCAAACCTCAAAATGATTTGTTCCACCTTGTAATGTCATGAAACGTAAAGGTATATGGAGTTTAAAGGGGTAGTTTGGGTCTTTCGACATGAATCTGTATCACTGCGCACTGCTGCTCTGTCTACTGCTTGGACCCCTAACAGTCTACATATAATGTTATGTTTTGTAGAAACGTCAATGGTAATATGACAGTGAGTGATGACACAACGTTACTAGCTGATTCTTCATAGCCTGTTTGCTTGTAAACATTGCACTTACCTGGGGTGCAGGTACAGCAGTGCTCTTCAAGACAGATTTCTTCATTCTGTCCTGGGCATGAAGGAACAGAATCGTCGTTGCTGAATTGCGCACTGCACACACAAATCTTTTTTATTTTTGGAAATTTGGTTTCCACAGCCTGGATAATCAAATCAATAAACAAGTCCACACCATTTTTTAGATATGTTATATAGCTTATACAAGCTTATATACTTATCGCTTTAGCTCTCACGTTAGCTCTCTTGCATCACGGCTGTCATCGGTCTGAGCATGTAAACACTGCCAAACTACTGAAAAAAAGTGTTGGATTCATGCGCGGCTGGCGGCTGGTGGCAGCGCATATTAATACAAACGGAGAGAAAATGGTGCCAAGCTATTTTGAGGTCTGACTTTTTCGTGGACAACGGCTTTGTGACTCTTTTGAAAATATATTGTTTTGAGAAGAAAAACACTTTATTTTCATGACCCCAGACTACTTTCGTCAGCACCAAAACCGGCCAGGATCTCAGCTCACCGGACACTGTCGGGTTTAAGTCAGTGTGGATGCACGACACTGCTGACAGGGATGCTATACAGATTCATGACAAAAGACCCGAACTATCCCTTTAAAAAGACAATGGTGCACTTCCTGTGTTACCACATGACATCACAAGGTAGTTTTTCAGTTTGAGCAAAGAACTCAGCCCAAATAATGCAGGGCTTGTGTGTTTAACGAATGAAATAAAACAAAAATGTGAGTATGTTTGTGTTGAGGAAACAACATAACAGATCAGAAAATATCTTTGTATAAGGTTATATAGAATTATAATAGTCAATTTTGGTGTAATATAGGAACTTAAAAACACAATTTTAATAAATACATTTCCTGTTTCAGAAAATGCCAATGCGGTTCAGGAGGCCACAGAGTCTATGGAGGATCTGTCTGTGAAAAACAACGAAGGAGCAACAGAAAATGAAAACGCAAACTGTGTGCCCATCGCTGCTGCGGACAACTGAAACACCCCATCATAAACACTCAAACCTAATAGAATAACATCATGGAGTCCAAACTATATTTATTTACTTCTGTCACCGTGGAAACCGAGGATGTGCCACTGAGACGAGATGTGTTATTTTATATATTGCGTATTGTTCTGAATGTTTGTGGGCTGATGCACTGCAGAAAAGTGAATTATGACTTGAATTAAGGATTTTAATTTCATTGAGTTGGTTGGGATTGCTGTTTTGTTTGGTTCTGGTCATAGACTGTAAAAACAAGTGGACTAAAGGAGTGTGACGTCACCTGTAGCATTCAGCTTCAGTCAAATGAAGCTCACCGAGGCTGGCAGCTATAGGAGCGAATTTGGAGTTTGGTTATGTCCATTTAGTCTATGGTTCTGATCAGTTATTGCTTTTCTTGAAATGTTCCACTGTACGGCATTTACCATGCACATTACCAAGACAAATATGTGGGGGCACTATGGGAAGTTACTAGACTACTACTAGACTCACGTCTGTGGAAAGGCGACCACTCATAGTAGGACTGCATGTCCAACTGAATGAATGCAGTACTGATTAATTCCGTACTGTGGAACATTCCAGGTGAAGAATAGTTTTTCATAGACTATTCTTATTCTATTTATACCTTAATGAACACATATTATGAAAATCAACTGAGCACTTAAAAATGCTCTGTTTTCATTTTGCCTGGATTGTTGCGTCACATGTAAAATTTAGTCTTTTGCGGTTTTTAAGTCCATAAACTGTCACCGGACTTCATCTACAGTTAGTGTGTTTACAACCAACACATGGCTCTATTAGCATTCAAGGACTTCAACTGCTTAAATGTTAGTTCCTGTTTCAGACACCAGAGGGAGCCATAGAAAAGGAGAAAAAGGAGATTTTTATGAAGTACCGTATTTTTTGGACTAAAAGGCGCTCCGGAGTATAAGTCGCACTTTTTGGGGAAAATTTATTTTATAAAATCAGAGACCAGAAACCGACATTTCATGTTAAAAGTCAAGTTCTAGTAATAACAATAGAAGAGAGAACAACAGACTGTTAACGTCACATTTGAACAGTTCTTCAAATAACTGTAGTATAAACAACAGAACAAGTTTACCAAACTCTCCATCAAAAAACCAAATCACTAAATCACTTGAATTCTTAAAGGTTAAACGGAGTGCCACTTTCTCTTCTGCGTCACTGTCGTCAGACTCTGCATCAGTTCGGCCTTTCTGAATCCCGACAGGATGGTTTCAGTTGTCTTTATGTTTGTTTAAATTTTAAATTGTCAGTGATACAGAAGTAATGGTGGGATTGACTGACAGGATACAGACAGTGGCTCTTTCTCTTTCTTCTGCAGCCAACATGTGCAGTAGAGCCAAGTGACAGTGGTACAGGAATACACAAGCCTAGAACAACCTCTTGTGGCTGTCAGTGTGAACATTTTAACATATAAGTCACACTGGAATATAAATTGCAAGAAACACCCAAACAATGAAAAAAAGTGCAACTTAAAGTCCGAAAAACATGGTAAATATAGACATTAAGTTAGAAAATGTGAAATACTTCTTAACTTAAAAGGGAGTTCAAGCATAATATGTGTTTTTAAAGGGTCTATATTATGCCTTTTTTCTGTATGTCTGTGTAATAACGTTGTTTCCTCATCAACATCCCTGGAGTTGTTTTGTTTCATTCACACATGTTAACCCGGCATATTTAGGAGCTCTTCTCTCAAACAAAAAATACTCACTTCTACTATGTGATATCAGGTGGTAATATTGATGAGGACACCTTCACTAGAATTATTTGGATGAATTATGGGTAAAAAGTAGATGTTAACTTTAAAACTACTACAAGGACAGAGCATTTTGAGTGTTGTAGAAGCAGGACTAAAGGTTACTGAAACGTATGAATGAAACAAAACACAACGTTCTTGACGACGTAACAACATTCTAACATGGCTTAAAGCTCACAAGAACCCATTTTGTGTAATATAGGACCAACAAACAAGTCATTTTAACTCTGTAGAAATCTAAGTTCTGCCATGTGCTCATTCTGCCTTAAGAGTCTGTAGCAAAATGTGTGGAAATAACCAAAAACAGCCTTTGTATGTGTGTTTGTTGTGGATTGAAGATGGAGCCGGATAGCAAAGACCAAAAGAGAATATTTTGATTATGAATAGAATTATTGCTAATGCTCAGGATCTGATTATTTAACTAGACACAGTGTAATATGTATAGTAGTAATAATAATAGCTCGTGGTAGGAAGGGGAACAGCACAATACCATCTTGTCCTCGAATATCATGGCCTTAAGGTTTAACAATAAAATAAACATTCTCCTTAATGTGTTTTTATTGGAATAAGGATTCATGAGTATTAACTGTTTGAATGAATTAGAGCTAGAAAATATATGTTTGAAGTACAGATGTATGACCAGCAGAGGGCATCATTTCACTTTGTACCATATAGTGATCTAGTACATGGGTGACTAGATAACAAGTATGTTTGAAATTTTGACTTAAATTTTACATCTTACAGTTCCTTTCGTGCAAGATTTAGATTTAAAATTTCATAAAGTTGACCTCTTTCTCCCCAGACTCGAGGTAAATATGCTCAAAATCAAATGGCTTTTACTGATAATAATTGTAATGCTGATTTATTCTTAATTACAAAAACATCGAGCACGTCGTTTGTTCTAATTTGGTGTTTTGTTTCTCATGACAATTATCCAATCAGAAAGCAGAATGAACCTCACAGTGAGTCTCATTTGGGTTGACAGTTTCAGTGCTAAAAATAGACAAAAACAAAGTCAGAATCATAATAAATGGGTTGATTGCATTGAAAAACATACAAAAGCTTGGGGCCTTACCGTGACTGGGCTTGTATTTTCACAAATCTGACTGATTTGGCCGAGAGGTGAGAATTCTCCTTCTTGTTTCCATGGAAATGTTTTTTCTTTGGCTATAATCTTCCACAGAATGGCATAAAACATATCTGTCTTGATGGAGAAAAGTTCCCAAGTTTAGTTTTAACTTTTAATTTTTATGGAATTTTGCAGATGACGTGCCTCTTCCAACATAAAAGGACAATCTCTGATCTGAATTGTCACATAACCCCAGCTCCTGCAGCCAATCCTGACTCAGTGCTAGTGCAGCCTCTGCAGCTCAGTGAGTGAATTCTGGAGGCTAGTTTTCATCTATAAAGGTCTATAAGAATCTATTAGAGCACAGGCTGCATACAGTTCCTTTAAACCAGACATGTGAAATTCAGGCCCAGGGGCCAAATTTGGCCCCATGATATAATTATATTTGGCCTGCGAGATGAATGAATGAATGAATGTTTATTCGGACAGTAATACATAGAACATGCATAGAGAACATAAATACATAGATATAACACAAAGTAAATATTTCTTTTCTATAATAATAAGCGAAAATAAATGTCATGCAGATTTTACTTGTGTCAGAAAAAGGAATACTTGAATACTTATTTAACCCCACCCCTTTTTTCTACTGTTCATATACATATAGACTGTTCATTTCCTGTACATTATAAGCTATAATTAACAGTACCTGCATTTCAGTACAAATCTAACAACAACAACAAATATATGTATATTATACAGAGATCATATCAAATATGCATTAGAGCTGCCCACTGGCTACAGATAGACTTTAGAGACATTGTTTATTTAAAATTTTGTTATTTTATATTTTGCTTGTTCTGGATTCAATGTTTAAGCAAAACTATTATTAAACATTTATTTTAATAAGAAAAGGTTTAACATTACATAGCTCAAAAGAAGAGAAAACATGCAGATGTTGTTGAAAAGTTTCAATAAATATTTAGTTTGGCCCACGACTTAGTCCCAGTTTTTTATTTAGCCCCTCTGTGAATTTGAGTTTGACACCCCTGCTTTAAACTGTTTTTTAAGATATATAAGAGTACTTTTAATTTGATTGTGTGAACAAAATATATATTAATATAGCATTTTACACCACCAAAGTTTTTAGTATTATTACTGATATGTTATGTCCTTTGTAATTCCAGTGATCATATATAGCTTTTGTCTTAGTGAGGACAGCTGTGGTAAATACAGATCAGAGTTTGCACTGAGACACAAACACAAACCAGAGAAGTGACGTCACAAGTGTGTGTTAGATTCCTCTGTCTCCATCACAAACCTCAGGTCCTCACACAAGACCAATGCCCAGATTTACTACAAAATATGATACAGAAGTATAAGTATTATTTACTTATTTAGAAAAGGAATAGCACATATTAAAGCACCCATATTACAGTATTTTGGGTTCTGTTATAATGTTTTCTCATCACAAACATAGCTGGAGTTGTGTTTTATTCACACAAATTCTGCATATTTAGATTATATTCTTAGCTCAAGCAGAAAGCAATCTGTTCCAACCTGTGATGTCATGTGGTAATACAGGAAGTGCTCCACTCATTTCAGACCTTGAATTACCGACCGATTACTACTGAACAAAAGATAAAAGGGGCTGTTAACTTTAAAACTAACGCTTCATGACATCACAAGGTGGAGAATCTTGAGTTTGGAGATGTAGACAGACTTTTACTCAAACGTGTGAAGGGGAGGCAACAGCATTCTAACATATCTTAAAGCTCACGAGAGTCAATTTTCTGTAATATAGGACCGCTCATCCATCCACACATAACTCTTACTCAAGTACAAATAAAAAAGTATACCTCAATAAAAAATACTCTTTAAAGGAACAATATGAAGATTTGATTTAAATTTTTTTAAACATGGCCTAACTTTGTCCCAATATATTCAAATCACATAGCTTCCTTTTTTTCCTTCTCTCTTTTTATTGGGTCATTTTGTAGCACTACAACCCCATGGATCATGACAGCCTCTCAAGGCTGTCTGTGTGAAAATTTTAATATATAAGTCGCACCGGAGTATAAGTCGCAGGAAACACCTAAACCATGAAAAAAAGGGCGACTTATAGTCTGAAAAATAGAGCTGTTTAATGTCATACTATATATATATATATATATATATATATATATATATATATATATATATATATATATATATATATATATATATATATATATATATATATATATATATATATATATATATACATACACACACAGTTCAAGCAGAGCAGTGACATCTCCATAGAAACAAGCAGGCAACCAAAAAGTTACACAGTGCACCCTTATATGTAACTAAGTAAACTACACCCACTTGTACTTTTCCCATGAGTCTTAGGGGCAGGGTTCTCTCTCATCTGTGAGTGTAAACAGTTTTCTCTTGTCCGGGTCGGAAGTGGAGCCAGTGAACCTGCGCCGCTCCTGTTTGAGGCTAAACAAAAAGACGCACTCAACACCTGCTGCATTCAAGGCCTGTCAAAAACACCGGAAAAACCAGCGCCCCACTTGGATTACCAGCACTTGTTAAAGCACAATGAGGACAAAAATTATGTAGGGCGCACACTACTACTATTTTTTCCATGTATTTGCACAAAATTTATCTTCATATAAGCAGCTCCTGAGGTCAAAATGAGTTCACTGTATACCGTCTGCATCTAATTATAAAGCGCTTTATTGTTCAGGAATCAGGACATATGTGTTAGCATGCTAGTTGTTAACATTATCATGAAGGCAAAAGTGGCTTTGGTGGAGTGAAAATAAATCAGGCTTATCCTATAGCCAGAAATATGAGGTCTTCCAGCAACTGCACACTCTTTTGACAGTAGTTTACTTTGTCAAACTTGGAGTTTTTTTCTTGTGCTCAGTCACTGCATATACTCCCAGTCCCTTTGAAAGTAATAAAGTGGTAATTTTTTGCATTTCATCATTTTATTAATAGTCCTATAGTACACAAAATGGATTCTTGTGAGCTTTGTGTCATGTTAGAATGCAGTTACCTCCTCAAAAACAGACCTGGAGTTGAGTTTTGTTTCATTCACACATGCTTGAGTAATAGTCTGGCTTAAGATGTCCCTGTTTACCTGGGACAGTCCCACTTTTGAGCCCTGTATCCACTGTCCCAGCAGATTTATCCAAAAGCATTGATTTGTCCTACCCAGCCTGGCGCCATCTAGTGTCAATTTCATTTCTCTCCAGCGACTAGGTCAGGAATTGGAATACACTAGACGGTTTGGAAGAATCTCGGAAGTTGTAGAGGAGCTGTGAAGCCATGACGTCAAACTCAAGTGTCTGTCTGGGTCCCTTTTGTGGTACAGCACAACCGTAAATAAAGCGGTCGAGATGGATGTAAACGAAGCCAAACAGTCTATGTTGGCAACTATTCGTGAGATCGAGGATTTAAAGCCGGAACAAAGAGAATGTTTGGTGAATTTTATTAAGGGGAAAGACATTATTGCCCTTCTTCCTACGGGATTTGACGCATTTACATATGTCACGACCAAATAGCAGCAATTGGTTAATTAAAAAAAGTACCTTCCTATCATCCAGCGAACAAATCCTATTGCTGCTAGGTCAGATGGTTTCCACAAAGTAAAACCAGCTGATGAATCAGGCTCGATTTGTCCCAGTTTTATACAAGAACTGTCACAGGTGTCCCTGTATTTGACCAATTTGATCTCTGCCAACAGTAAAGTAAGGCATAAATTGTAATCTGACTCGATAAAATACAGAAAAGCTGCTTAAAAATGACCAAAACACAAAGAAAAGGTGACTATACTGACTTACATGTTAGTTATAAATGGTTTCTTCATAACAATTTTCCTTTATTACACACTTATTTCACAATTTTATCATTACCAACCACCAAAAAAATAAAGGGGATGTCTCAGTTTTTTTAATTTTATTTTGAAATTGTGGTCACCCTAGTCTGTCTACATCTGCAAAGCTCAAAAAGCTCTGTTCCACCTTCTTATGTCTGTGGTGGTAGTTTTCAAGTTAACAGCTACCCTGTTTTACCTTTCTATATTTTTGCACTTTATTATATTATATTTTGATAGTAGTAGTAGTTTATTCGGTTATTTTACAACACTACAAAACAAAATAAAACATTGACTACAACCCCATGGACCATGACTGACAGGGTTTATAAAGGGTTATAAACTAAAAACTAGTTTAAACAAGAAAGCAGCATATGAACAGCAAGTTTGTATTTACAATTTCACTTACAACTTACTGTATATATAAGAGACAAAATACAAAATAAAACAAACTGAATTTAATGCATAATTCATTCATTCCAGAGCTCTATATCTTTCAAAACATAACGCTTTATACTCTTTTTTAAAAGGTTTCTGCAGTATTAGGCTTATTAAAATCATCACTCAGGTTGTTCCATGTACTAACCCCTCTAACAGAAGTCAGCTTTTTTTTTTAGTTCTTATCTTCATTTTTTTTTAAGGTACCTGTTCCTCTAAGGTTATTCTGACTCTCTCTCTGCTCAAATAACTCCTGTAAACAAGGAAAAAGCAGATGATTATAGGCCTTGTACATCACTACGTCTGTTCTCAGGTCAACAAGATCAAAAAATTTAAATACTTTTAGCTTAACAGAAAGAGGTTTTGTTAGTGCATAGTAATTTGCATGATTTATTGTAATGTGTGAGTTACTGTGTCCAAATCATTTACTTGTGGATCAGTTCAGGAGAGACTGGCAGTTCCAGGACTCTAGTGAAGGTGTGTGGAGTTTAAAAACACAGTGGAGCATGACATCACAAAGTGGAACGGAGTGTTTTCCGAGCAAAGAACTCTAAAATATATAGGTTTTGTGCGTTAAACGTGTGAATGAAACAAAACACAAACTTTATAACACAGATCAGAGAATTGCGTAATCTGGGCTCTTTAATAAAACGAAAAAGTGAAAGTAGTGGACGTCTGTGTTTATCCCATGAGCCAATCAGAAACGGCACCTGAGCGCGCGTGCCTGCCCCGTGCGTAAAACCGGGTATAAAAGCCAGACCGGTAGCGCGCACACGGCTCCTCCAGCTCCAGCGCATCCCCGCGGTCTTCGCTCCACGCCTCCACCGCCGCCAGCAGCCCGCTTCACCCTCTCCTCGACCCGGCCACCATGCACCTGAGCGGCCACGACCTCCTGCTCTGCCTGTGCGTGCTGCTCCGGAGCTGCTGCCTGGCCTTCAACAACGACGCCACGGAGCTGCTGTCCCCCCACGACGGCAGCAGCAGCAGCAGCAGCAGCAACAACAGCGCCCGCAGCCCGGAGCTCCAGGGCAACGCGTCCCTGCTGCTGAACCGAGCCCGGACGGGTGGCAGGGGAGTCGGGGGAGCGACGCACGACAGAGGCGGTGAGTCACTGGAAGATAAATTTAAAAAACAAAAAAAGCCCAACCACAAAAACTAGACTAAATTTGACACATAGACTTAAAACAACAACAACAAAATAACGATATCGGGTGGGCAGAGTTGTCACGATAACACATTTTATTGAGCTACAGATAAGAATTATAGCAGTAAAAGATTGTATTGAAACTACTTTACGGCACTGACGCAAACGCAATAAAGCAAGATAATCCCTGTAAACCATTCTAAATAAACAGTATCATTAAAAGTCCCCAGTTAAGCTAAATAAATAGCAGAATTAAGCAATAATAATTAGCCTTAGAAGTGATTTATTCAACCCTCTAAAGCTCAAATCTTATCGTATTAACTAAAATAACAAAGAAAACGTACACACACACACACACAAAAAAGTTAATATATTGTTCCAGGTATCATATATTGAAGTTACGTGGAAGTAGTAATTATCATGACAGGTAGAGTAGTAGTTACTTCAAATGCTGTATTAGCCCTACTCAAGTAAAAGTACAAAGTGGTCCAAGAAATTACTCAAGTTAGAGAAAGAGTAATAGTGAGGCTGATAACAGTGTAATAACAGGATACAGTGTTTAGTATGAAAAAGAAAATGTAAATTGTTATGCATAAAAGTGAAAATCTTTTTGCAATTGGTTCATATTTGTGACTGAAATGAAATGTATAAATTTGAAAAGTTAGAAGTAACTATTAGATGATATAAGTCTTCTCTCTGCTTCTTTTCATTCATTCCTTTTCATTTCTTGTATGTTGTCACACTGTTTATGTCTTTTTATACTTGAAATGAATGAAACAAACTAACAAACAATCAAATAGTAATAATAGTAAAATCTAGTCCTGGCTTAGTCCTGCTTTAGTCCTGGTTTAGTCCTGGTTTAGTCTTGTTCTAGTCCTGTTCAAGTTCTTGTCTAGTCTTTGTCTAGTCTTGGTCTAGTCTTGGTCAATCCTGGTCTATTTCTTATCTATTCCTACTCTAGTCCTGGTCTAGCCCTGGTTTGGTCCTGGTCTATTCCTGGTCTATTTCTAGTCTATTTCTGGTCTAGTCCTGGTCTATTACTGGTTTATTACTGGTCTAATCCTGGTCTAGTCCTGTACTAGTCCTGGTTTAGTCCTGGTATAATCCTGGTCTAATCCTGGACCAGTCCTGGTTTAGTCCTGATCTATTCTTGGTCTAGTCCTGGTCTAATCCTTGTCTTTTCCTGGTCCAATCCTAGTCTATTACTGGTCTATTCCTGGTCAAGTCCTAGTCCTGGTCAACATAGCCTAAAGCCCGTTTGCCTAATGACTTTTCACTTGCCCATGTCAGAATACAGTCAGAGTCGTGTGCAGTGGTGGTAGTACAGAACATTCTGACCTGTTTTACAAATTAAAGGGCCTGTATTACTCTGTTGTCTGATCTATGTTCTAATGTAGTTTCCTCTTCACAAACATACAGTACCTGGAGTTGTGTTTTGTTTCATTCACACATGTTTAACACAGATCCTGCAGATGAGTTCTTCTCTCAAACGGAAAACACTGTTCCACCTTGCGATGTCATGAGGTAATATGCCTTTATTTACTGAACTAAAGGTAAAAGGTAGATGTTAACAAAGTAGAACAAACCAGATTACTCAAATATGTGTGAATGAAACAAAACACAACTCCAGGTCTGTTTTTGAGGAGGTAACAACATTATAACATCTCTTAAAGTTCACAAGAGTCAGTTTTATTTTGGTTTACTTTGAATCTTGAATTGTGGGATTACATTGATTGAGATCTTTCACTATAGCTTATACAATCGCTCAAGTCATTTTTATAGTAAAATTCTTCTTCTTAAATCTTCTCAGAGCAATCTTCAGACACCATACCTGTACTACTTGAGTAACAGCCTGTGACAGTATAACAGTTCTCAGTAAATTTTGTAAAGTTTGGTTCCTCTTCCCACTGTGAATAAGTCTGCAAGTGACAAAAACTTCTTATGGACACAATGAAATTATTTGAACATTTGCATTTCGTGCACTGCTCCCTCAGATATGATTGTATTTTTTCTCGTTTATATGGTCTAACATTTTGAAAATACCAGAATTTTTTTATCATTTCATTGTTGTGATTTTCAACTACTCTAACCTGGTTGGGTTTCTGATGCCATCACAGCATTTTAAGGGCCAATACAGGTGGGGGGCAGCTAAAATAAAAATTGTAAAAATGCAAAATTATGTTGCAATACGGTGAGCTCTTGAGTTTGGTCAATAATAGAAAATACCAAGTTCGACATTTGTGCATTTGCCTTTTGGATATTTCATGGTAAAGTACAATGTAATGAATAGGGAAAACTAACCCTTGCCCCATCTGCAAGAATGATATCATCACGTTCTAGAATCTGGAAACTACCAATCATAGGTGCGATTTGGTCTGTAAAGCTTCAGAAACCCTTCACTGCAACAAGGCGGAACAGAGCATCTTTGGAGGTTTAGATACAATAATAAAGGGTTACTCGAACATGTGTGAATGAAACAAACACAACCCTGGTTATGTTTTTGAAGAGGTAACAATGTTCTAATGTTGCTTAAAATCACAAGAGTCAAGATTAGTCAAACGTGCACAGGTGAAACCAAACACAAGTGCAGGTATGCTCAGTATTTCTGTAGAGAGTTGGAGGCGGAGGAGGAAGAGAGAGAGAGATAAGGAGGGGGGTAATGATAATAGTAGTGATGAGGTAATGCTCTGAACACCCACAGCCCGTATAACTGTATTATACTTTCACTATCTTCACATATCTTCAGACTGCCCCTATAAACACATGACAGAAAAAGCAAAAAAAAAAAAAAAACATACTAAAATACTGTAAAGCTTTTTAAAGGGCCAATTTTAGCCTATTTTCCGATCTGTTAGAATGTTGTTTCCTTGTCACAAACATTCCCGAAGTTGTGTTTTGAATGATTTGGATCATTTCAGTCACTTCTAAACACGAGGTAAAGGTAGCTGTTAACTTGAAAACTACCACTTCACGACATCACAAGGTGGAACAAAGCTGACTGTAAATCCATCTGTCATTTACTCACAGTATTTAAAACAGTCTTTGTTTGAGCACAGAGCTGCATCCAAGAGAAAAATGAATGCTGTCATGCTAATTTCTATATTGACTTACTGTTCCATGTTCCAAAGCTGGAACTATATATTTTTAGTTATGTTTTTAGCTATATGATAAGATTTAAGCTGTGAAAGGTTAAATAAATAACTTCTATGACTTATTATCAGGGGGGTAGTGGGCGAGGTATGCGGGGGTTCGCCGTCCACCCACTTCTCCTGACGTGAGATATGAAAAAAATAACAAATATAAAATAGCTACAACTTCAGTGTCAAACTGGAGCTTTTGGCAATGGTGAAAACAACCTGCAAAGGCTCATGATATCTGCACTACTGTCCTATAGTGACCTGAGACATGAGAGACCAGGTCTAAACCAGGACTAAACCAGGACTAAATCAGGTCTAAACCTGGTCTAAACTAGGACTAAACCAGAAGTGAACCAGGACTGAGTGTCAGGATGGGTCCGGAGGTGTGGTCGTGTAGAACGTAGGGCGATCGCAGGCGAAAGGACCAATGCAGAGCTCCACGCCCCACAGGGCTAACCGCAGCTGTCACCTAATCGCGCTTTGTGTTCACAATGCTCCGTGGGCTCAGGATTCTCTCATTCTCAAATCCAAGATTAGTGCTGGTTTAGTCCTTGTTTAGTCCTGGTTCAGTCCTGGTGTAGTCCTGGTGTAGTCCTGGTTTTAGTCCTGTTATAGTCCTGGTTTAGTCCTGGTTCAGTCCTGGTTTAGTCCTGGTTTAGTCCTGGTTTAGTCCTGGTTTAGTCCTGGTGTAGACCTGGTTTAGTCCTGGTGTAGACCTGGTTTAGTCCTGGTGTAGACCTGGTTTAGTCCTGGTTTAGTCCTGGTGTAGAGCTGGTTTAGTCCTGGTGTAGACCTGGTTTAGTCATGGTGTAGACCTGGTTTAGTCCTTGTATAGACCTGGTTTAGTTCTGGTGTAGTCCTCCTGCTTCAGTCCTGGTTTAGTCCTAGTTAGGTCCTCCTGATTCAGTCCTGAATTGTGTACCCCCACTTAAAAAAAATCCCCACAACACCACTGCTAATTACAGATGCAAAGTAAGTGCAAAACTGTTTCATTCTGCTTTTTATTTATGCAGCATGTTTTTTTGTTTGTTGTAGATTTAGAATAGTGTTTGTGGTGTGGTATAAATGTGTGAATAGGTGAGTGGTTCCTTGCTGTAAAGCTCTCTATATAAAAATGTGACACTTTACCCTTTTATTTCCCTACAGATAAAGGTCAGATCGGCTGCAGGGAGCTGAGGTCCACCAAGTACATCTCAGACGGGCACTGCACCAGCCTCAAGCCCATCAAGGAGCTGGTGTGCGCGGGCGAGTGCCTCCCCACCCAGCTCCTGCCCAACTGGATCGGAGGGGCCCCTGGAAGTCGCCTTTGGGGCAAGAGGGGCAGCAGCAGCGGGGGTCCGGACTGGAGGTGCGTCACTGACAAAACCCGCACCCAGCGCATCCAGCTGCAGTGCCAGGACGGGAGCACGCGCACGTACAAGATCACCGTGGTGACCTCCTGTAAGTGCAAGAGGTACTCCCGCCAGCACAACCAATCAGGAGGCAAGTTTGATGAGGAGGAAGTGATGTCGTCGCCGCACCTCCTGCACAAACACCAGGCCAAGAGCAAGAGGAGACTGGGCAAGAGAAAGTACATGGACAACTGGCACGAGCCTTGAGAACGGACCCGCTGGAAGAATATGGACTATATGGGTCTTTTAGGATGGTACCCACTTGGTTACAACTTATTTTATGAAAACTGTGTGCCGTCTTCATCTAATTCTAAACCGTTTTTATTGTCCGAGAATCAGGAAGGGCGCCCGACTACCCTGGATACTTGGGGAATTAGAGAAAGAACTTGGTTAAATCACAATGACTGACTGCATGTGATTACTGAACTTCATCTGTTCAGTTCAAACTCACATAGGCCTAGTACTATCAGTAATAATAACTTTAAATTCTACTACACAAAGTAGTCACAAAGAAAACAATCTTAAAAGGTTATGACAGTTTTCTAAATAAGAACAAGACAGTTTGAAGTCCTTTCTCGTTCTCTCAAATGTTACTGGTTTCCTACTAGTAATGGCCTCAGACAGAAGCAAAGGCAATGGAGTCAACAGTGACCGGTTCTGGATGTGCATTTTCCATTCATTTTCCATTCATTTACCCATAGACTTCAGAGTTTGAAAGCTTGCTCAGGGCCAATCAGCTCTGTGGTAGCGTATAATTTTATTTTAAATCTGTAACTGAAACGTTTTGAACCGCTAAGACAGGGATCTTCAACCTTTTGCGTCCAGTGAGTTACTTTTACAAAATGAAAATGCCAGAGAGTTACTAATTTTGGCAATCGCACGAAATTGAATGGACATAGGAGGGCAAGCCGTAGATGTTGTACAGTTAGATGCCTATAAAACATAAAACCATTATCCATTTATTAGTGCACAAAGTTCAAAATAACACATTTACAATGGTAATTAATCAAGTTTGAGTTATTCTCTACAATACATATGATTCAGAAATCCTTTGGCGAGCTACTTATAATCAAGTGGAGAGCTCCTGGTAGCTCCTGAGCTACAGGTTGGAGACCCTTGCTCTAAGATATTAAAACATTTAGCCAAATCTTGTGTTTTAAATGTGCTTTTTGGATTTAAAACAACCGAGTTATGAACTTTGAACCTTTTAATATTAGATTTAAAAAAAAAATCTGAATGAAAAAATGAATAGAAATTTTACTTCCGGAACCGGAGCCAACTTCAAAGTGGGCGGGACAGCTGAGCTTCATAGACATATCCCTCAAGACAGTTTCTTTGAAATGGAGAGTCCTGCTTGAACTTTGGTGGTTTTGTTAATGTGACAAAGGATTGTATCTGCAATACAATTCCAGAAAATATATACGTTCAACTGCTTTGTTCTCTTTTTACGCTGTTAACAACACTTTCAAAGTTTTAAAATGTAAATATTTGTATAAAATGCCAGAAAAAAACGTGTATTGCTTTTACAGATATGCAGATGTTATGTTGTAAGATTTATGATGTAGGGCCTAATATATTTTTTTATATTTTTATATTTGTTTTCATAATTTTGTATCAAATCTATAAGACTTGAAGAATAACAAATGTTTCAAACAATAAATATTACATTTTTATGCGTTTCATTTTAATTCCAGTGTATAAAAATTATTTCATTACTTTTTATTTACTAAAATCAAGGAGGCGTCACATATTCACGTACAAGGGATCTACTAGAAGCCACGGAGTTGTTTTTTTCAAATTAAAAGACAAGACACCACACGAGACACAAGATTTTGATGTGTTGTAGTTTTGTTTTCAGCTCTTTTTGCTGAACATTTTAATTTTTTTATTGAATTAAATAAGTTAGTAGGCGTTAAAAGTTTAAAAATGGCTAGAAAATAAAATAAAAATCGGTAATAAACTTTATTTTGAAAGGACAAACCGGAAATACATGAAGCTCCACATTTGGCTTGACAGCAGCATCAGAACCACTCCACGCGTCGCTCTTTCCCCGCCCCTGAGCTTGCGATGCTTTAGAAATTAAATAAAATAACTATTCCGCTATGAAATAATTTTAAAAACATGGACCAAAGCGTCATAGGTCGGTCGGGTTCGGAGCGGCCCGCGGATCCCGGAGCTTTCCTTCCTTACGAGCCCGGTAAAGACGACCCTTATCCCGGGAATGTGAGCGTGGACTTCCCTGTGTCCGTGGTGCTCCCAGCCGGCGGCACGGGGGAGAGAACCGGCCTCCAGACACCGAAACAGTTCTGCACGTTTCTGGGCAGGCCGCTCATCAGCTACACGGTCCAGGCCTTTGAGAGGTGCGTGGAACGGTGTAATAAAAGTCATCCAATTGAGTGCGCACCCCAGGGATACTTATGGAAGCCTCCAGCCATAATATTCTCACCAAAACAAACCTGTCAGGACCCAGTGAGGGCAAGACACGCACTTTCATTCATTATTTATCAGATGGATGCACGCAGGTTTGGCTATTTGTAAAAGTTATGTATCCAGATGTCCCTATTTACCCTGGACAGTCCCAGTTTTGAGTCCCATGTCCCCTGTCCCAGCAGATTTATCCAAAACCAGTGATTTGTCCCAGTTTTGTACAAGAAATGTCCCAGGTCTCCCTATTTTGACCACTTTGATACCTGCCAGCAATAAAAAGGGGAATGTATTGTCATTTGTTTTGTTAAAATACAGAAAATTGAGCTTGAAAATGACCATAAGAACAAAAAATGCACTGTCAGAAGTCCTACAAAGTAATTTAAGAATGGACAATGTTTAGGGTGACCAGATGTCCCTATTTACCCAAGACAGTCCCACTTTTGAGTCCTGTGTCCCCTGTCCCAGTAGATTTATCCAAAACCATTGATTTGTCCCAGTTTTATACAAGAAATGTTCCAAGTGTCCCTATTTTTGACCAATTTGATCCCTGCCAACAGTAAATAGAGGCATAACTTGTGATATGTTTCGGTAAAATACAGAAAAGCTGCTTAAAAATGACCAAAACACAAAGAAAATGTGACTATACTGACTCACATGTTAATCATGAATGGTCTCTGCATAACAATTTTCCTTATTTATGCACTCATTTCAAAATTTTATTATTATTACAATATTTTTCATCAAAAAATGGATATGTCCCAGTTTTTTTTTATTTTGAAATTCTGGTCACCCTACGCTATGATATTATATGATCTTGTAATAATTGATACTTTGGAGTGACAGCTTGTGGGGCTGTTCTACATGTATCTCTAATGTTGGAATGTTTAGGAGTTACCATAGTCAAGCCTGTGATCAATACCAGTTTAAGGGATTGATTTTCTTGTTCCAGCTAAGTCAGTTCTTACTTTATGGTTAGGTTGTGGTAAGATAAAGCTCAGGATAAAGTCTAATAAAGCCACAGACAGAGCAGAGCCTACAGTTAACATCACAGCTCCAGGGAATGCTGACTGCTGCAAAGTATCGATAAGTAGTTCAAAGATTCAAAATACTGTTGGATATGCACAAAAAGAAAAACTTAAATTCAGAATGATTCATGTTCAGGGGTCTAAGAGCAGATGCAGTGTCTCTTCATATTCCTGTACCCTGGGCTGGAGGAGTATTACTGTGAGTGTTAAGGATGGAATAGGTCCTGGTAGAAGTCTCTGTTGACCATGAAACTCAAGAGTAAGGCAGCAAGAAGAATCAAAATAAATTGCAACTTGTATGGATGGATGCAATCAGCAAATCACAAAGGCTGCGGTTTTAGAAGTTTCATAATTTCTTTCAAAAACAACAAAATATCCTGTATTAATCTGCATAAAATCTCCTAATCCTGTAGTTATTTTTGGCAGTTTTCCTGGACGTGATTAAAATCTGAATTTTAAACAAATCCTACTGTTAAAACATATCACAACTCAGAAAAATAATTTGATATTTTTCCCAAATCATTCAGCCCTTGGTCAGAGTGATGAAGCATTAATAGACAGAACGAATCAGTGAATGGTTTTGTTTTATTATTATATTAATTGTAATAATATGAATGCATTGGGTTTATTGCACCTTTCAAAATGAGCAAAGTATTTTTGATCTAAATTGCTGCCAAATAATGCAGAAAATATAATATAAATTCAGTCTACATACAAAAAAATAAACAAAACTGCATCTCAGATATTTGTCATCCAGGTAGGGCCAGAGCAATAGAAGATTTACAAAGTTAGATGAATATAGACACGATAACACATTTTGTAAGAAAGACTGTCTAATAAAAAATAATACTGTATTTTTCGCACCATAGGGCTCTTAAGCCTCCAACCCCATCAAAAAACGACTGCGCGCCCCGCAATCCAGAGCACCCTATACACGAATCCACTCGGGTGTCCCAGCACGACTTAAGTAAAATACAAAGCCGCACCACGCACGCAAACACACACGAAGCAGACGGTGACCGCACAGCGAAAAACACCCACAGACACTCTCATCACTTCACGCCGACGAGGAACAGAACGGAGGAACGAACCGAAAAAGCGAGTGCAATGTACCACTCTGAGCCACAACTGAGTCACTGCGAACACGCCAACAATCTGTTGGTCCCAGACAGCACCCTCCCTACACGCCACAACTGAACAAAGCCCAGAGTCACCGTGAACGCCACAAACAAAGTCCAACTGACCCATCCAACTGTTGTTTCATTTAAAGTCCTGTGCGGTTTATTTGTGAGAAAAGTTTGAAAACAGACCATTCTATGACAGTGCGCCTTATAATCCAGAGCGCCTAACAGTGCGGAAAATATGGTAATATTGAAAATTCTACAGTATTACAACAAAAAGCATTTAGTGGCATTCTGATCCAGTTAGATTTTCCATCTGTAAAAAAAAAATCCAGTATAATAAATGTAACACTATTGAAAAGTCTGTCTCCTTTCTCATCCAGAGTGCGGTGGGTCCAGTGTGTTGTGGTGGTCGTGGCTACAGAACACCTCTCCCTGATGACAGACATAGTGCAGAGGTACAGACACACCAAGGTCCGGGTGGTACCAGGCGGCTCCACACGGCACCGCTCCATCCGCCGAGGGGTGCAGGCTCTGGGGGAGTCCGAGGAGCAGACGGAGGCAGGGGCGGCAGGGACGCACCCGCCTAAAGTGGTCATCATACACGACGCAGTGAGGCCCTTTGTGGACGAGGACTTCCTGTACAAGATAGCAATGGCTGCCAAGGAACAAGGGGTTAGTTTTCTGACAGTATTTTGTATTTAATTCTCTCCATACTAAAGCAGTACCCACATATATCTCCAATATACTGTATGTCTATTAATGGAAGCTGGTTATATCTTGATATTGTTGTTTTGAAGATATGAACACTATAGTGCAGTGTTTCCCAAACTGCTTTTCTAGGGAAACATATTTTAAAAGTCACAAACCTTCACGACCCAACTCGAGACAGTCGTAATTCATAAATCATAAAATAAAGGTGGATTTGAGCATTATTGAACATTCATTTATTACTGACTGAGTGATCGTGTCTCTGAACAGTTAGTATTACTCAGTAATTGAACCAGCAGAAAAAGGTATCCATAAGTATTCTGAAGTGCACTTTGCTGATTTATCACCTTAGTGTTTCCCGCAGTGCTTTATAGTTAGGGTGGCCGCCTTGACAACAATTGCCCCCACCTTGACCACATCACTCCAAACCATGTGAATCCCCTCGCAAAACTACGGTTGTCGCGCCCCCCCCATCCACCCCAGGAAACATTGCACCCTTCTTTTTGGACAACTAAGCTGCATTTCTCAACTTGGGGATTAAAATTAATTTCTAATCGTCAATAATAAACTTGGGTTCAAAGACTGTTTGGACATAGTTAAAGCCGCTAGCTGCCATGTTCTAAACAGAAAGTGAGCATGAGCATACTTCCAGTACCATCTATTGAAAACTCATAGTAACCTACTGTACATGATCCTGATGTTTTGCTATTTTGTCTGTAAATCATGATATGAACATTAATAACATAACAGATTTCCCTGAGGTTTGATTGACAGCGTTTCTAAGCTCCCGTTTCCTGCCAAACCAGTGGTGATTGATGACTGGCTCTTTGGGTCCTATGATACTCACGGTCGAAATCCCACACATGGAACTCTACTCCAAATTCTCTTCTTTAACTGCAAGCCTCGATGAGCTTCATTTGACTGGAGCCGAACTAGTTCTTTATACTATACTATTTCTTTACAGTCTGTTGTTGTGTCTGAGCTCTCAGGCCTTTCCTCTGTCTGTAAAAGCGTGTGGTTTGGAGCAGAGTTCACATTTCTGGGCTTAAATGCCAATGACAGACAGTACTGTTTATGTTCAGGAAATGAATGCTGAAGGCTATTTTTATTCATTTATGCATTAGTGGATTTCTTTTTATTTAATTAACGAAAATGTCATCAATCAATATGGAGTAGGAAATTTGATCGTTTGTTTTTTTCTTATCACCCAGTCCTACATATAATTCCTTAAGTTTATGAAACACATTTTTGAACTTGAATTTTACACCGCCCATACCTCTGGGAGAATGAACCTTTTTATCCTTTTATAGTTCTACTTTTTTCTTGGATTTCTCATGGTTTAGTCCTATTTACTCTTATTTTAGACCCAGTTCAATTAAATGTTTGTGCAGTGGAATGTTCAGTTATTTTAATTGGTGTGAAAAAGTCTCAGGAGCATAAACATACAAATGATTCTAAACTAAACTGAGCTGGTCTAAGTCGGGGATGACAGCTGACCCTGATGGCCGCCTGACACAATATTTGATTTTGTGTGTTATGAAACATAAACGGGCCTGATTTTAAAATACAACAAAGACTGTTTTTGGATTGTGGCGACCGTAAAAGCAGCAAACATAGACTTGTATGTTCTTCTCTTCTCCTCCCCGACTCTTGTCCTCCTCTCCTCTGTCCCTCTTCTCGTCTCCTCATCTCCTCATCCCTCTCCATTTCTCCCCCTCTCCTCCTGTTTTCCTCCCCTCTCCTCATCCACTTCTTCTCTCCTCTCCCTCACGTCCTCTCTTTTTCTCCTCCTCTTCTCCTGTTTTCCTCCCCTCTCCAAATCCATTCCTTCTCTCCTTTTCCTCTCCTCTCCCCATCCACTCCTCCTGTCCCTCTCCTCCTCTCCTTTTCCCCTCCTCTCATCCTGTTTTCCTTCCCTCTCCTGTCCCTTTCCTTTTCTCCTCCTCTCCTCTTGTTTTCCTCCACTCTCCTCATCCACTCTTCCTCCTCTCCTTTCCTCCTCCTCGCCTCCCATTTTCCTCCCATCTCCTCATCCACTCTTCCTCTCCTCTCCCTCGCCTCTTCTCTTTTTCTCCTCCTCTCCTGTTTTCCTCCCCTCTCTCTATCCACTCCTCCTCCTCTTCTCCTCCTCCTCTCCTGCCCCCCCACACCTCTCTCCCCCTTCTCTTCCTCCTTCCTTCTCCTCTCCTCCTCTCTTCTTCTCCTCTCCCCTCCTCTCTTCCTTTCTCCCGTCCTCATCCTATCCTGTCCTCTTCTTCCCCTGTCCTCCTCTTCTCCCATGTCCTCCTCTTCCGCTCTCTTCTCCTCCTTCCCTGTCCTCCTCTCCTCCTCTTCTCCCCCCTCTCGTCTTTAATCCTGCTCTTAAATACTTCTTCAGATTGGCTGGCAGACGTAGCGTTTGTTTCTCCAGTGATGGATGGAAAACACTGGGGCCAGAGTCACGCTGTTCTGATGGCTCTGTGCAAAGTAACATTCAAATGATTCATAACATTGAGGTCTGAATCTTCTCACGATATTATTTTGCTCATGTGTGCACAATCTTTTAATTTATTTCAGTCTTATCTCGCTGGATCTTGTGACATGAGACTTTGTGCCTACTCCTAATCTCCATGGAAACTAGCAGGTGGCAGACTCTCCACAAGAAAAGTTACACAGAGTATCATTAAAACTGATATTGATTCAACTGCATTAAATTTAGTTTCAGAAATAGATTTTTAATACAACATGCTTTGTCATCATTTGTTAGTTTGCTACAAAGCTCTGTTATTTCTTTTAAGGGTCTGTACTTCGCCTGGCAAATCTAGAAGTACATCTCTTTAGTTTTTATACAGATTGATGGCCGTCTGGTCCCCACACTCTTGGTCACGTCTCAAGCCCATCTAAACCCCTCAATACGTGATTGTCCATTTGGATTTGTTCATTTCAGTCACACATATGAAATGAAGGAGCTCATTTACAAATAAAATACAATTTCTCTCTCCTCACATGCACAAAGTTTAGTCTTTCACTCTTTCATTCTGCTGAAATCCACCATGTTTGTCAGTCTCCTGTGGTCTTTTTTTTTTCTTAAATTTTTCCCAACAGTTGAACCATGTGTATGCCTGACTGCCTAATCCACCTGTCAATCACGCCCATCTGAAAACAGGGAGACCAGACTGACATTTTTGTAGTGTGAAGTGTGTATCCTGGCTCCCCGGCAAGTCTGCGCCCAGATACAGAGTTATTGTAAAAGACTCTCTTAGGCTCAAAATGAGAACGACACTCTTAGGCTGGATGCAGACAGCTGTGTGCGGTATGCATCTAGTTAAAAACATGTTTTTGATTTCCATGAACCAGGAAGTAATTAATAAAATTTTTTTTTGTCTGCTCTAAGAGAGTTATAAAACGCGATAAACTATAAACCAGGGGTCTCCAACCTGTAGCTTGGGAGCTACCAGTAACTCTCCACCCCCCTCCAAGTAGCTCGCCACGGGGTTTCTGAGTCACACATATTGTCACCTTGATACCTTTGTCATGTGTCATTTTGATTCCTAACTTTATACACTAATAAATGGATAATGGTTTATGTTTTATAGGCGTCTAACTGTGCCTCAAGGTTCGCCGTGACTCTTATATATGTTAAATTTCTTGTGACCACTAAAACTAGTAGCTCTGTGGCATTTTCATTTTTTAAAAGTAGCTCACTGGAGGTTGGAGACCCCTGCTAATTACCATATTTTCCGGACTATAAGGCGCACTGTTGATTTTTGAGAAAATTAAAGGATTTTAAGTGCGCCTAATAGATATGCCTAGTATGTCTTATAATAAGAAAAATGTTGTAATCGTGGTGAATAATTAGGATGCTAGGAATACAACTAGTATGTTAACATCACATATCCTGGTTATTAGACAATAAAACGCTTCATAATTAGATGTAGACATTACACACAAAAAATATATATATATTCAGGAGCTGCTTATACAATACATCCGTACTGGGGCAAGACAACTTTTGCTCAAATACATGGGACAAAATCAGATACAGGATCTTTAACTCCAATTAAGCAGTAACATCTTCATTGACACAAATCGATGATGAGCTCCCCACAAGAGAAGTTACATAGTGCACCTTTAACATGTTGCTTTCATGTCATAGGAGAACATTCTGTAGCTCAAATGAAGTGCATCCCCTCCCCACAGGCAGCAGGAGCGATCCGGCCCCTGGTCTCCACAGTGATTGCCACTACCTCAGAGGGATACCTGGACCACAGCCTGGAGCGGGTCAAGTACAGAGCCAGCGAGATGCCACAGGGGTTCATCTACGACGTCATCTGCCAAGCCTATCAGAAGGTCAGGCCAATACTGTTTTGTTAGTTTTTTTTTTTGGAATTAATGAAATGGGAATGTGTTTTAACTTTTAAAGGTCCTTTATTAGATCAGCTTTAAGCCATGTTATAATGTTGTTACCTCATCAAAAACAGACCTGGAGTTCTGTTTTGTTTCATTCATGCATGTTTGAATAACAATTTTATTATTAGGCTGCGTTTACACTGAAACGAATCACCGTATCAGAAACGATTTGCATCTGCAATTCTTCCCCATCCACACAGCTTTGAGCATATTTGTTTACGTTTTACCGAAACGAAACTTAAAACCACATGGCTAATTTGCATAAACTGAATGCTCAGAAAAACAGTTCACTCTTGTGCACTGATGCGGTTCAGCTTCTGTCAGACTAAAGGACACGACTCAGTGGAATATGAGTGTTCTTTCTGTGACAGAGGGGTGTTCTGCTAATGGTGAGTCTGTGCTGTGCTCCCATCACGTTGGAGATGTTTCATGTTAAACTTTTCAGAGATTATACGTCTGCAGGTCACAGCCATGGACCGTTTATATGAATGGACATATATTCTAGCCTCTTAGTGTTTTGGCGGTGAATTACTTCGTGGTGCATAGACCTACATCAACATATCAGTGTTTTCAGGCATCCACACAGTGCTGGATCAAATCTGTACTCAGATGAATTCGTGGGAGCTGGCAGCACCGGATCGTTCCGTCTCTGGAGCCGTTTTCCATCAGATTAGTGTGGACAAACACTGCATTTGCAACGAAAAGGACTCGAGTACATACTAGTGTGGATGGGGCCTTAGTGCGTCCACATCTCCAAAGCTCAAAACGCTCCATTCAACCTTGTGATATCATGAAGCGGTAGTTTACAAGTTAACAGCTCCTTTTACCTTTTGTTCAGTGGAGATGGGCAATTCCAGGTCTGAAATTATCCAAATGATTTTAGAGAAGGTGTATGGAGTTTAAAAATACAGTGGAGCTCTTCCTGTATTGCCACATGAAATGCAAGATGAGCTTTGATTACCCTGTTTGACCATTTTCCAGTTATCTTTACTCACTCTCTCCTCCATTTCATGTTTGATTACAAATAAAGCTGTAATGGAGTTTCATCATCCACTTTAATCACCTCTGTCACCGTGTTTATGGTCATTCTCGAAATGCTGTTTAATATCGGAAATGCAACTCATGAAAACACGTAAACAACACTTTCGATGTTGCTCCGATTACCGCGGCGCTTTGAGCTAAGCCGTGTGGAATGCCTCTGATTAGAACTCCAGTCGCTGTGTTTTTATGTGTGGAACATTTGGATCTGAACTTCATCGCTCTGTTGGTTTTGGCCTTTTCTGAAAGTGAGCTCACGTCAACTGAAGAATGTAGGTACTTAAATGGAAGTCTTGGGATCAATTATCTGCTATCAATCTTAAAGCCTCTGCACTGTCACACCTGGGGAGCGATGGTTTGCTGGATCTGGGACCAATACCGATATTTGAGATTTTGTCTTGCTGCTGTGACTGGACTTGTCACAATAAGATGCAGATGGAAAGTACGGGAGCGTGTCTGTACATTGTCCTTGTTTTAAATAAATAAACAAAATAACTACACATTTTTAAGCATCATATATTGCTATAGAGATATACTGTGATAAACGATGACATTAAAACTACTTTATGCCTCGGATACAATAACAATAATGCAAGATAATCCCAGTAAACCTTTTTTAAATAAACAGTATGAGCTGGAACAAATACCAAATGAGCTGGTAGGTTTTTTGTAGCATTATAACATGTCGTAAAGATGCATTGTGTAACTTTTCTGTTGGAGGGTCCATCAAATGCTTTTCTCTGCTTTGACTGATTCCGTGTATCATTCGATCATTCGTTTTTCAAAATAAAACCAAAAATAAGAAAACGAAAAAACAACTATTTTCTTCTTTATTAGTCTTCAAATCCAAAAAAAAAAATAATAATAAAACTGATAAAAACCAAAATGAAAAAAAAAAACAAAAAACAGATAAAAACCAAAACCAAAATGAAAAAAATGGACAGTGATTATAATGATTAGTTTTTTTCAGTTTTCCATTGTGTGTTTAAATGAATAATGGAAAAACAGATAACGGCCTTTTCCTGTTTCCGTGACTTAAACTGTGATGCCTGGACTTTTTTGCCACATACGGACTGAACCAGGACTAAACTAGGACAAAAAAAGGATGGGATGGGCCCGGGAGACCGGGACTGAGACCGGGACTGAGACCGGGACTGAGACCGGGACTGAGACCGGGACCTGTTTTTAGTCCTGTTTTAGTCGTATTTTAGTCCTGTTTTAGTCCTGGTTTAGTCCTGTTTTAGTCCTGGTTTAGTCCTGGTTTAGTCCTGTTTTAGTCCTGGTTTAGTCCTATTTTAGTCCTGGTTTTAGTCCTGGATTAATCCTGTTTAGTCCTGTTTTAGTCCTGGTTTAGTCCTGTTTTAGTCCTGTTTTAGTCCTGGTTTAGTCCTATTTTAGTCCTGGTTTAGTCCTGGTTTAGTCCTATTTTAGTCCTGGTTTAGTCCTGGTTTAGTCCTGGTTTAGTCCTGTTTTAGTCCTGGTTTAGTCCTGTTTTAGTCCTGTTTTAGTCCTGGTTTAGTCCTATTTTAGTCCTGGTTTAGTCCTGGTTCAGTCCTGGTTCAGTCCAGCATCGCAGTTAAAGTCACATATTTTCCATGATTCATTTAAACACAAAATCGAAAACTGAAAAAAAGAATCATCATCCATTTTTAAATTTTGGCTTTGGAGACAAATAATGAAGAAAACAGTTGTTTTTTTCGTTTTCTTATTTTTGGTTTTATTTTAAAAAACAAATGAACGAACGATACGGATTTGTGTGGAATGTTTCACAATATACTATTAAACCTTTCTATCTTCATGGAGACCAAACCAGACCAAGTTACATGTCAGATCTGCGGAGAGGCGACTCCCAACAGCAACGCTCACAATTAGAATGCCTGTTTTTCCAGGGATTTTTGAGCTATAAAACCACCTGTAATTGAATAAATGTAAAGTAGAGAGAGCTGTTTAAAGTCATACTGTGGAACATTCCAGGCAGAGCAATGACATCTCCTTAGAATCGGACGGACACCAAACCAAAAAAGTTATATAGTGCACGTTTTAAACCTCACAGAGTCACTTTTGTGCAATATAGGGGCTTTAAATATTATTGGCCTATAGAATGTTCTTATGTCATTGAAAACCCAGCCACAGTGATGAAGGTGAAGTATAAAAATGGTCTTAACTTTGGTTCCTCACATGTGTCCTGTCTCAGTGCACAGATTATGACCTGGACTACGGGACAGAGTGTCTCCATCTGGCTCTGCAGTACTGTGGCACCAACGCCAAACTGATCGAGGGCCCGCCCACTCTCTGGAAGGTCAGCCAGCGTTCATATCACTGTTTTCAATTTTTATTTGATCTTGTACACTTACAAGAAGATCTACTGCTGCTATCTGCCTCCTTCCATATGTTGTGTTTACATTCTAGGCTTGTAGGATTCTTAATATCAGATAATGGATAATGGGTAAAGGCCTGTATAACTCTATGGGAAATTTACTGTTTTTAAAAGAAAATATTCGAAACCTTGTATTTGTTAATGATTGGGTCCACTAACTTACCATGTGAACAGGGATGTCACAATATCTAAATCAATCTGTACAATATCATCACGATATACGTCTCACAGTACAATATTTATTTATTTTGTCAAGGCTAACCAAACTGTGAATATGTAACTTTTTCCTTTTAAAATGCCTTGACAAGACTTTAATAACTTCAGTCACAAGTAGGGGTGTGCACAAATATCAAAATATCGCTATATCGTATCGTCTAATGTGATCATACATTATCGTGGGGAGTATTATTTGCTCTATTTTACCAAATTATTTTGTCACAGAGCTACAGTTTTTTTTGCTTGTTTAGAGGAAGGAAACAAATTTATGCAACACATTTGACATTTTCACTATTTTGATGATTAAAATGGGAGTGTTTTTTTTTTTTTTTTTACTTTTTATTTGTGCTTTTTCAAAATTTTAACAAATGTACATAAAAGAACAAACAATATGTGGGGTTCTATTAAAAAAAAGAAAAAAGAAAATACCTTATACATTGGAGTAAGCTTTGTACATAGACCATTTTAACCATCGCTTCTCAAATTGACCAGCTTTCAGTCTCAAATAATAGGTTATTTTTTCCATCCCATAAATTGCCTCCATTATATCTGTCCATTGCTGTAATTTCAAAGGGTCATCCTTCAGCCAATTCCTTGTTATTACTTTCTTACTAGCCAAGAGCATTAAAATGGGATTGTTTTATTTTAACTTTGCACAAGATGTGGTTTAACAAAGACTTTTAGTATCACAAACATGATTTAGCCTTTATTTTTTTATTGAACTGTATCGAATCAATTTGAAATATATCGTAATGAATCGTCGAATCGTAAAGATCACTGTATCAAGCTATGTATTGTATCGGCAACTTTTTAATAAGATAAGATAAGATATGCTTTTATTAGTCCCACAGTGGGGAAATTCCAGTGTTGCAATGCACAATTCAAGAACAGCAGGGAAAAAAATGTAACATGCAATAAAACAGATAATAGATGATACCCAGCCCTAGCCATAAGCCAAATGTAGTGTTTAGAACTGTTATTTCTTCATGTAGTCTGCACTGAAACAGAGCAAAGGATCATGGTCTTTGTAGTTCCCTTTGTTTTTTTTTAGCTTATGCTGCACCATAACTATTATTTCACTAACAAGGACCATGTCAAAACAAAGGAATACAATGAAGATATTTGTTGATGATGCATAAATGTGATGGTTGGGAGACTCAGGATGGGGGCTCTGTCTCAGGTGGTCGCCCAGTAGATTCAGGACCCTGATAGGCCTGTATAAATGGGGCTTCTAAGTAATTCAAGGCGTGGTTGAGCTGAGCTGTGATTGGCTGGAGAGGAGCAGGGGGAGGTTGAGGCTTGCTCCTTAATCTCAGTCAATCATATAAACTCTAATTCAATTCGATATATTGTGATGGTCCACGATATTATTGTGAGACTTTTGACGATACGATTTTATTTTATTGTTACATCCCTACATATGAATCTTGTGATTTTAAGGTCTTTCAATGAACCACAGTCACATCTTTGGAGCTGAAAAATGAAGATGTTGTGAAACAAACATTTTACTTTTGTTTATTTATACTGACAAAGAAGACGCTGAACTTTGTTTTTATTTGGATAGGCCCAGTAATTACAATGATGTGAACCATAAACCAAGTCAACACATCTGCAATCTGACAGTTCACATAAAACATAAAATTCCACCATTGATTGTATAATAATTATAATTTTGACACCAGAAGGTTTGAGATTTTACAGGAAAACCACCACTGCTTGCCTTGATTGTCCTGACTCCATGCGACAATATATAAAATTGTTTTATTGTCTCCCTCAGTGACAAGTCTGGCATCCTTTAACCTCCAAAAATATGACCATTTTATAAGCTATGAATCTCTCAAATGGATTGTAGACTTGATGATCTAATGGTATTTCATTTTTCAGGTCACCTATAAAAGAGACTTGGCTGCTGCAGAGTCCATTATAAAAGGTGACTTGGTTTCTGCTTTACACTTTTATATTTTTCCAGTAACTTCCTTTGTCACTTTGTCTGGATTTCGAAGTTGTACAGACAATGGACCAAAATATATCTTAATTCCACTCAAAAGGAGCATAATCGTTTAAACATGTGGATGCAGTCTATGAACGCAGTACAAGTCCGAACTAGTGAAACCACCACAATCAGAGCGATGTAAAAAATAGCAGCATATTTGTGAGTCTGACCACACCTTGGAGAGACGTACAGGGGAGTTCTCACATCAGTCATTTCTACACTTGGCTTATTGGAATGGGTCATACTGTAAACTGTGCATTAAGTGATGGTAGGATGTTGAAATTCATTTCTATACAGTATATTTTTACAAAGGTGTGCCAGGAGGACTGGTCCATTTATAACCCTTTTAGCGAACTCCATGTCCAGCACCAAGCCTCTCCAGTCAGGCTTGTGTGGTTTTGACTGGCAAACAAAGGGAAATATAGTGATTCCAAATCAGTATCGGCTGATATAGATTTAGATCTGCATCAGAGTGGTATTATGGCTGTATGTTTTTACAAAGATTACATCCCAAATAAATGCATTTTGTTATTGTTTTTATTTAAGGGAAAATGTTATTACAGATTTTTACTTAAACTTAAAGGGACAGTCCTGAATTTTGGCTATAGGGCCTCATTTCCTAGTGAGCCAGAGTGTTGGAGACGTGTGGAGACACTTTTTTAAATATTCCATCCAGTCCTTGTATTTTTAGAGGTCACTGGTGCTAGGCTAGTGCATATCAATGGCCATAGTTAGCCTGCCACTAAAAACAGTCTTACCCACTGCACAAAACACCCGAAACAAAACTATTATTACACCAAACTGTCAAAGTGAATGTCTGTGTTGACAGAATAATTTTAGAAGTAAAACCAACCTTGCATTTGAAGGATTTATGTCTGAGCAGCAGCAGTGAGTTGTACTTCCTGATGGAAAGCTTGGCAGTGGCGGACTGATATCACCTAGCACCTATTTTACCGGCAAAGTAAAATTCCACTGCTGCTGAGAAAATAGTCCCTCAACATGCAACGATTTATTTCAAATATTATTCTATCAACACAGACATTTACATCGACAGTCTGGTGTAATAATAGATTTGTTTTTAGTGGCAGGCTAACTATGGCCATTGACATGCACTAGCCTAGCACCAGCGACCTCTGCAAATGCAAGGACTGGATGGAATATTTTAAAAAGTGTCTCCACAACACTCTGGCTCACTAGGGAATGAGGTCATATGCCCAAAATTCCAGACTGTCCCTTTAAGATAAATTTGTGATTTTAAGTTTATAATGACAGATTTATTAAAGTGCTTTTAGTAAATAAAATCTTAGCACCAGGGTCCCAGTGTGGACATGCCTGTCTTAGGTGGTGCTACTTTTCAAAAAGAAAGTGGGAGTAAAACTTTAATAATACATTTGATTAGAAAACATATCCTTGTGCAGCCAGTAAATAATTAATAGTCAATGAGATTTAAAAAAAATATATATATAAGGCTGTCAATTGCTTAGTTGATTAAAATTACAAAAAAGTTGTTCAAGCATAATATCTTCTTTACTCCTTTATCATGCCTGTTTCCTGTGTCCCTTTGCAGAGTCCCTGTCCCTGTCCTCCTGTGTCCTCACTGGTGCCTGTTCTGTCTCTCTGTCACTGGCCCAGTCCCTTCAGAAAGCCTTTGGGCCTCTACACATGGTAAGACCCCTGATGTTAGCTCCACCCACACACAGGAGCGCGCTGACAGCTTCACTTTCCACAGCCTCCACATTTACACGTCCCATCTCGCAGGCTGAAGCCCTAACTCGACCACAGCCTGGGTGGCCTGGTCCTGAGGTTTTCCTTGTGTGGTTAGATTTAAATGTGGCGTGTCCATAAAGAGCTGTATAAGTCTAGTGTTTCGATCTTCATTCTCTCAGAGCAGGAAACAGATGGTGGCTCCCTGTTGGTGGAGTTGTCCTAATTAATAGTTGTCCAGTTGTGATTTTTCACCTCCATCTCAGCTCAGCTCTCATATTTACATCCGACAGTGCTGTGTTTGCCAGTCTGTGCTGTTAATCTACTTAATCTAAAGCCTTGTTTTCATAGGAGTGGACTGGTGTTCTGTTTGAGGGGTGGACCGCTGAAGGTTCTGTCTTCCATGGGGGTTTGGTGTGGTTAAGGGGAGGGGACAGTGCAGGACAAAAAGCAAGAATTTGTGGGCTATGTACAAGAAGTTAAAGGACAATAACAAATCGAGCAGTGCTGGCTGACAGGACTGGAGGTGGGTCAAGGCGATGTACGGCTTCTACGGCTACATACCAACAGATCTGGTCGAGATGGGGCCTTGGACAATGCCACCACGTTGGCTGTATGTATGGCAGTTGTCGACAGCACAGTACAGAGACATGTTGTGTTGTGCTCCTCCACCCCATGTCATCTATGTCTAATGTGATTCGTCTAAATTTAAGGTGAAAGGAAAAAGGAAACTGACCAAACACTAGCAAACACGAGTTTGTTTGTAACGGAATTCTGTCAGAAAATGAAGGAGAGAGATTTTCCAGATCTCCTCTAAGCTTTGGGAATGCAAAAATCTGTATGAATCTGTTAGATCTGAATCTGTCTAGAATTTGATAAATTATTACCGTATTTTCCTGGCTATTAGGCGCGCTCTTAAGCCTCTAACTCCATCAAAAAATTACTGTGCGCCGCAATCCAGAGCGCCCTATACACGAATCCACTCGGGTGTCCCAGTACGACTTCAGTAAACTACTAAGCCGCAACGCCCGCAGTGCACGCAAACACACACGGAGCAGACAGCGACCGTGCGGCGAGAAACACCAGCAGCCACACTCGTCACTCCACGCCGACAAGGAACGGAACGAAGGAACGAACCGAAAAAGCGAGTGCAATGTGCCACTTCTAGACACAACTGAACAACTGAGTCACTGCGAACACGGCGACAATCCGTTGGTCCCAGACAGCACCCTCCCTACACGCCACAACTGAACAAAGCCCAGAGTCACCGTGAATGCGCTAAACAAAGTCCAACTGAGCCATCCAACTGTTGTGTTTCGTTTAAAGTCCGGTGCGGTTTATTTGTGAAAAAAGTTTGAAAATAGACCATTCAATGACCTTATAATCCAGAGCGCCTAATAGTGCGGAAAATACGGTACTATTATATTTCCATGTTTCAATAATATTAATGTCCAAATCATCTTACAAAAACATTCTGGAACATGTAGATTGTGTTACAAACTACATTTTGTCATACACCTTTTTGATCTGACATAATTCCAAGCACTCCCAGGTCCCTGTACCCCCACTTGACAAACACAGCAGTAGACAATGCTTACCTTACCACCTTAAACATAATGGTGCAAAACAGCTTTTCTCAGTGCAGGTAGCTCTCTCTTCAGTGTGGTCCTGAGCCTCCATGACAGCCTGGATCCGTAGCGCATGACTAAACTCAAATAAACACTCACAATTCTGGAGGATTTCATGCCCAACCTGCTTTAGATCAAAATCATTTAGAACAACTTTTCCAGGCCCAGCTGATCTCCACGCTGGCCTGAACTGATTTCCTGCAGAAGACCTCGCATATGGTTTTAATAACATTTAGCATTTCAGATTTGTGTGTGTTCTCCTCGTGGCGAGCATAGATCAACACAAGAAAGTGTTTATTTCCTGTTTGTGAATTGTTATTTGCATGGTGTGAAAGTCCAAATAAATAAATAGAATGTGAAAAAGGCACAAATGGACAGGGGACAAAGCGGCAGTGTTGGTGTTTCTGTGTGTGTGGTTTCTTTATGTGAGGAGTTTGCATGTTCTCCCTGATTTCTTCCTTTAGTTAATCCCGTCTAGGTACACACAATGGTCCCGGCTTAATGCTTATTGTGCTGCTGTTTCCTACTGCTGAAGCTACTCAACAGGCAATGAATGCACAGATTTACAATACAATAAAGACAACCTTAAAGGAAGCTTATGTAAGATTACTTTTTCATTTCAAATTTTATAAACGTGACCTGAACACGAATGAGGTACGAGGTAATTTAAAATCGCCCATAACTTTACTGGCAACGATTTATCATTTATTACAAAAACATTGGGCATGATGTCACTTTTATTTATGTTATAATAGGTTCTATTCACGCTTACGTCACAAACCAGGAAGACGTTTGGAGACGTTTGCGATGACAACTTCCGGTGGGCTCTTTTTGCAATAGTAAGTCTGACAAAATCTAGGAAAAATGAGAAAATATCCCAGTTTTTTTCATCTCCATGTCATTGTGGTGTTCTGTTATGTTCGGCTAATCAACATTTACAACCATACCTCAGTTTTCATCATTTCCCCACTAACGCACAACTCCGAGTGCACTAGGTACATTCGATTAGAAGAGATGAGGCGCCAAATTCTAGATGATTCCAAAGAGCACATACGTATGCAGTCTTCATTTTACTGATCACATTTACTTCAGTGGGGTTTATCACAGTCTGTCGGCGAGCCCAGTCTCAGGAACTTGAAGTTGTCATTGCATGTTTCCACACATCTTCTTGGTTTGTGACGTAAGCATGAATAGAGCCTATTTGGTGTTTTGGTTTTCAAGAAGATTATCCAATCAGAAAGCAGAATGAGCCTCACGTGAATCTCTCATTTCTATGCTGAAATCCAGTTGGTTTAAACCTAAAATGTCTCTCTCTGATCTGAATGGTCACTACCTGAAGCCAATCATGAATCAGTGCTAGTGCAGCCTCTGCAGCTCAGTGAGTGAATTCTGGAGGTTCTGAGCTTTTACATGAGGCCTGTCCATGTATTGAGAATGAGAAAATCTTTTATGTGTCCTCTATCTGCAGGTTAAGGCTCTGGCTCTGGTTCAATTGTGATTATAGTACTTTTTGAACCTGATAAATCATTCAGCGTGAGGTTTAAGCCAACTGGATTTCAGCATTGAAATTGGCAACGCAGGTGTGAGATCATAGACTGTATAAAAGAAGTGAACTAAGCAAGTGTGATATGTCACCCACAGTGTTCAGCACCACTCAAATGAGGCTTGTGGTGCTCACGCTCACAGGAGCAAATCTGGAACCAGGCTTTATGTTATGAATAGGATTTTTTTGATGGACAATTGGACATTTTAAGCCCAAAATGACGAGGCTCACTGCAGCAGTTACAAAGAGAGGAGTGACAAGATCCACATGTAAGTCACTTGGAGCCAGAGTCAGAAGGAGCCTGAAGAGCCTCCTGACACACTTCCTATTTGGCACACGGCGGCTATCAACTATGTCCACTCATATATACGGTCTATGTGTGACTCATGTGAGGCTCATTCTGTTTTCTGATGGATAATGGTCATGAGAACCAAATCACCAGATTATAGCAACCAACTTGACCATCATGTCCATATTTTTGTAATCAGCATTACAATTGTTATCAGTAAAAACTATGTTTGATTTCAACAATTTACCTTGCATGAGTTCATAGGTCACGATTATTAAATTTAAAAACTAATTCTTACAAATATTTCCTTTTAAATCCATAATCACAATTTCCTTTTCCATTAAGTCAAGCTAATTTTTATTTGTTTATTATCAAAGCCAGAACATCTTGGCTGAAGTTCAGCTTTTTTCCTGAGGCTGTCAGAGATTTGAACAGTGCAGACTGACTTCCTGCTTAGACTGCCTCTCTATCTTGCCACATGTTTTACTTGTATTTGTCTGTTGGAACTCCTAAATGTTTTTGATGTACTTTTAAAAATTACTTATTTATTATCGTTTTTTATCTCTCTCTCTTGATCACTGGGCCTCGAGGAACACATTTCGTTCTGTCATGTGTTTCACTCGCATGCTTGAACGACAAATAAATAAAGAACCTTGAAAGAAGAACCTTTAATACAATACAAAACAACAAGATTGAAGCCATTGTTTTCAGTGTCATGAAATGGGTTGGGACATGCACTCAGTGACTTTTAACACATTTAAACACGTTAAACACGAACTGCTTTGTTATAATGCAAGTAAGCTGTTCAGTCTGTAGAATGTGTTACTATAATCATAAAATTCACTTATTGTTCTTACCTGACAGAACCTGGACATCATTCCTGACGTGCTGGGAGACAATGCCACGTACCTCCTCAAGGGCTGGAACTTCATACAAATATCTGTATGTTCACCTTGGCAACTTTTAGCCACATTTTTAACTTTTACTTATTTCTAATTACCCTTCTCTTTTTGTTGTAGGTGAGTGGCTGTCCATCAGAAGTGAAGACCTTACTGACGGCCATAGAAGCAGCAGATCGTGCTCTCCTCAGCCCTGTGGTGGTCCTCTGGGTGAGTGCATGTGTACAGTTGCATTAAAGGTCCTAGATTATGCAAAGTGTACTTTTGTGAGATTTAAACCATCTAAGAATTCAGTAGATCGACAGTTCCAGGGCCGAAATCATCCAAATTATTCAAGTGAAGGTGTATGACACAAGTGTGTCCCGTTTTAGAGAAGAACACAGCCTGAACATGCAAGATTTGTGTGTTAATCGTGTGAATGAAACAAAACACAACTCCAGGTCTGTTTATAATGAGGAAACAGCATTATAACATAGATCAGAAAATAAATATGTAGGTAAAAATTTCAGGGTAAAATATTTCAGAGTTGTTTTTAACTCAGAAAGCGTTATTTTATCTATAGCGTTATTTTAACTATATGAAAGTTAAATGGGGGTTGGAGTTGGGGTTATTTACCAGAGTTGATATTGTTGAAGTTAATTCATCTTCCACTAGTGTTAATTCAACTTCCCTTAGTGTTAACCCTCCACCCTCCAGTTTGAACCAGTTTTGTTCATAATTTCATTTTAAATTAACTCAAATAAAATGTAAAAATAAAACACCTCTGTGTGTTGTTTAGCTAAATCAGGATAACTCTACAAAGTGCTATCTGTTTACTCTCAGAACATTAAAATAACTCTTGATTTCGGGTTAAACAGGAACTTTGGTCCAGTGTTACTTAATTAACATTTCCAAAAATGTTAAATTAACTCTAGAACAGATTGGACTCATATAAACCCTGAGAAAATGTTAAAATTAATTCTGTGAGAGTCAATTTTAACATTTCACTTTTTGCTGTGTACATGCATCAGTAAGCCTAAGTGACTTTTCAGCTTGGACATGTTTTCAATTTTCTGTTTTTCTAATCGTTCATAATCAGTTCATTCACGGCTTAATATGTTCCGTTCGACCGGTGCCCGAAGTACTTTTGTGTGTTTTTCATTCCAAGACATGTTTTTTTCTTCTAGCTTACACATTGCAGCCATTTAACAATAAAACTGGGCTGTCATGCTTGTATATCCATGTGTTTGGTGAGATCACAATTTGCTCATAACAAGTTTGGTTGTTATGGACTTAAGGAACACATTAACCAGAACTGACTTATTTGTTGTCCCTTCATCAGAAACATTCCTGGAGTTGTGTTTTGCTTCTTTCACGCTTCTTTCATGCTTCTTTCTTATATTAATCCCCATTAATCCAACACCATCTACTCTGAGCACTCAAAAATGCTCTGTTCACATTTTACCTGTTTAGTTGCGTCACAGGTAAAACCCATAAACCATTACTGGAAATACAAATACTTTAATTTATCTTGACAACAAATGCGTGGCTCTGTTACCATAGTGTTCATGGGGCATAAGGACTTCCCCAAGAATGTTATGCTAAAGGGAGAGGGGAAGTTTATTAAGTATAATTTACAAATGCAGACATTATTTTAAGTTAGAAAATGTGAAATCCTTATCCCAGAGTGACTAAAAGCATTTTAAAGCCACAAGAATGCATAATATGTTTTCTGTGCAGGAGGTGCATTGTGTAACTTTTCTGATGGAGGGTGTGTCAAATACTTTTCTCCATGGAGATGTTATTGCTTTGTCTGGAATGTTTCACAGTATGGCATCAGACCTTTCTGTCTTCAAGGAGACCAAATCAGACCAAGTTACAGGTCAGATCTAAGGAGAGGCGACACCGCTCACAGTCAGAATATCTGTTTTTTGAACTATAAAACCAGCTGTAATTGAATAAATGTAAGGAAAAGCGGTTTAATGTCGCACTGTGGAACATTCCAGGCAGAGCAATGGCATCTCCATAGAAACAAGCAGGTGACGGACCCTCCACCACAAAAAGTTACACAATGGCCACGTTTTTATTATGTTTTTTAATTCTGAATTAATTGTTTTGAATTAAATAGTTCGGAATTAAAATATTCTTCTTCGAGTTTACATGGAATTAATAATTCCGAATTGAGGTTTACTTGAAAAACATGTTAAATCACCTTTATTTAATTCCACTCAATGTCTGGGGGTGGGGAAAGGTTCTGATTGGACAGGGACACCAACGTATTTACGTCGACCAGAAGAAAAAGCACACTTCAGCTGCTACCGGCTTTTTTGTCATCTCGGTTTGTCGTTACACCACGGACAGGAACATGATCCAAACTTTTTTCGTAGTCGTTCCGATGATATTGAAGCAGCAGCAGAATTCTCTCATCACGTTTTACGTCTGTCAGCTGAAGAGGAGAAGGGAAGAGTGTCGGAGAAGGGAGGAAGAGGACAAACTGATGGTTGCTCTACCTCAGCCCACTCCCGCATCCTGCTCACAAATCCAAAGAGCACTGGATGAAAGTCCGAAGTGAGGACTGGTGGAGCCGGATCATCTGGGTCGTGTAAGAAGGGCGACCCAACAAATTACTTTTTAAGAGGAATAAAAGTTTACATGATCAAGGAATAAATTAATTAAAATCGCAATAAAACACCCATTTACTTCAGGATTAAGTTTAATTCCAAATAATCATTTTCATTAGGAATTATGTGTTTACGTCGTCTTTGTGGAAGTGGAATAAATTTGTATTCAGAATTAAAGCTCTCATGTTAATGTAGCAAATGCACCTTTCAAGTTGAGTAATTTCTGAGCACTCAGAGAAAAACAACCTTATTAGCAATATTAATGAAAAAAAAGCACATTAAGCAAATATAAAACTTCAAGTATGTTTTTGATGTGGGGATTATTGCATGGTTAAAAACTCAAAAATGCAATTCTGAAATAATAATACAAAACATAAGACTATTAAAAAAAGCTTTGACGTACAATAGTTTAGAATGTGCACAAGAACTTCTCATTCAACAGCGGGAACGTTTCAAATCATGCTGCGCTAATACCAAAATAAACCAGGCAAATCTGCACATACAAGCCAGGAAAATATTTGTGCTTTGATTTCTAAATGTGAACGATGATTTGAAACAGACAGGTACAACACGAACGGCCACAGCAAAAATTTCAAGCAGATTTGGCTGAAACATACCAGATGTCACGCCAAATGAAAATCTCACTTTATTTTTCTGTGGATACGTTTTCAAGGATGTCGCAAGCGAGGATTTACACATGTTTACCCCATTTTCACAACAGTCCTAGTTTTGCTTCTACAACCTCGAATGACACTTTTTGTTGGCCCTGAATAATACACAATGAGACATACAGTTTTTATGATTAAAGGGGACATGTGAGTAATGATATTTTGCAGTGACATCACTCTGGAGGTGTTCCGCATGTGTCTCTGTGGGCAGAATGTTCAGCTGTTACAATGTTGACAAGATGCACATATTGGCAAACACAGACAAAAACTTTTAAGGTCTGAAAAATGTATTTAAAGAGCACATTTTCAGGAGCCTGTGGTCAATTTGAGCATTCATGGTTCTGTTTAGGAGTTTGATTTTCAATAAAAAGCCGAGAGTGACTAACAGAAAAACTATCGACTAATGGTAGCAAGCTTGTGACTGTAATTTTATGTGTGAAAGAGTTGTTTAACAGCACAAATCAACTCTCCTTTTGTAGTTCCAGCTATGTTAGTTCTCTCTCTGACCAGATTGTGTTCATATAAAGGGTAGATTAAAGTCTACTGGAGCTTCAGACAGAGCAGAGCCTACAGTTAGTCAATAGTGTATTAAAGCTAAATGTCCAGAAGACATGAAGAAGTGGAGATGATCAAGACCGCCGCTCCCCCTAGCTCTGTCTGACAGCCCCATCACCATCACCCAGGACCAACTGGGAGCCCACCACCAGCTCCCTCATCAAGAAGGCCCAGCAGAGGATGTACCTTCTGTGGAGAGCAGCCAAGGAAAGCCATGTTCCTGCCCAGATGATGACCATCACAGAGTCCATCCTCACCTCCTCCATCACAACAAAGATAGAAGAGCATTGTGCGCTCTGCTGAGAAGGTGATCGGCTGGAGCTTCCATCTTTCCAGGACCTGTTAATTAATTAATCATTGCTTTTATATAGCATCTTTCAAGACACCCAAAGCACATTACAGTTTATTGTTCATTCACTCCACACTCACACTACTAATGTAGTCACGGCTGCCCTGGGGCAGACTGACAGAAGCGAGGCGGGCAATTTTCACCGTGGCTTTCTTACTAGGCAACGTAGGTGAAGTGTCTCACAACAACAGTTTTTGACACTGGCGTCCCACTGTGGCACCTGGAATTCCCAGTGGTCTCTCATCCAAATACTACCCAGTCCCAGCCCCGCTTAGCTTCTGAGATCTGACGAGATCTTCAGGATCTGTATGTCTCCAGGACCTGTACGTCTCCAGGACTTGTGCATCCTTGGAGATCACTGTACCACTCAGTGAGTGTGTTTACATGTACATCAGTGTACTGGGTATGATCAGGTTTTTTGAGTATCCCAGTTTCGTCATGGTTCATGTATAAACAGTATCCCAGTTACTGCACCATGAAGTTGAGTGCGCATGCCTCCAAAAGACAAACACTTTTCAGTCTTTTCATCATAACAGGACCCAAAATAAATAAAGTGACCAACATAAATAAACTAAAAAGTGAAATGACTGTTAAATAAAGAGCTGCTCTAAACCCACACATGTCTGATCTCTGAAAACATGATCACCATCATCATCGTCATCATCATCATCATCATCATCATCAACATCATCAACATCCCTCTGTCACTGAGAGAACACTCATATTCCACTGAGTCGTGTCCTTTAGTCCAACAGAAGCTGAACCACATCAGCACAAAGAGCCATTCGGTTTTAAGTAAGATGTAAACAAATGTGGTAAAACTGCATTAAACACATTATAATCTCAAACGGGCTGATGTGGTTCTATAGTGGTTATGGTTTATATGTTGTAAAGTGTATTTATGCAGATTAGTAATAGTAATAATAATGATGATCATTTTAATATAAAAACATTAATGATTAATTGAAACTCGTCTTCAGGACCTGTACATCTCCAAGCCTCGGGAAGGAGCAGGTCAGATCACAGCTGACCCTTCTCACCGTGGACACTCGGAGTGAACCACTCCACTCTAGCAGGAAACTAAGGGTTCACAATAAAAACACAGGATGTCAGTGACCCTATTTCTGTTATGGAGCAGCGGCTAAGATCAGCATCGACTGGATAGGAGTGAGCAGTGGGCCTTCTGTCAGATGTGAAATCAAGCAAATATATCCTACTGGGAAAAGGCAAATGAGAGTCAAAAACGATTTCATAATTTTGGTTTATTTTTAAACACTATTGCCAACCACTAGCTGTTGATTATGACAAAGCGAAAATCTTAACTACACAATTTAGCCGGTAATCTTTATTTGAAACAGGATATTTCCGGCTAAGACTTCAGCTAAGTTTCTAAATATGCTGATGGTTTGTTTTGTCAGGTGCATTTGAGTGGTGTGGACGTGTCTTCCATCAGAGAAACTGTGACAGAGCCAGAAACAATCAGGGACCTGGCCTCTGACGCCAAACTGAAAAATATCCTCGTGTACGGCATCCATGTCCAGCACTCCAAGGTACAGTTTTATATTTAATTTTTCTGCCATATGTCTACCTAATATTTTTTTAGTAATTACTTTAACATTTTCAACAATTATGCTTCAGATGAGTTTGCTTGTCGTCATGTGCATGTTGTCAAGAGAGTGGTTAGAGACAAGGCAGTAGACCAGGGGGGCAAAGGGGTCTGTTGTCCCAGGCCCCAGGGTTTTAGGTGTCCAGGAATTTTACCCTCTTCCTATTACCGTATTTTTCGGACTATAAGGCACGCGTAAAATCCTTTAATTTTCTCAGAAGTCGACAGTGTGCCTTATAATCTGGTGTGCCTTATGTATTAAATGTCATTATTTACGCCATAGCCCAATTTTGTATTTTGCATCGCTGTGTCCTTTAGCGGCCATACAAACAATGTCCTACGTGCGTCATTAGGCCTATGAAAATAGTGTGATTTTAATTGTGTCGGGCTTGGGTTAGATTCGATCACTCCTCTGTCGGACGCGGGCCTGGCTCGGACAGAAAAATTCGTCCTGATTCACACTTTAGCCTGGGCTGAGTTATTGTGAATGAGTTGAATAAAGCTTGACCTATCTGACTGTTTTGTTTTGTTTAATGCGCCTATAATCCGGTGCTTATTATGAAAATAGACGAGAGAATACAACATTATTTATTGCGCTTTATAATCCGGTGCGCTTTAAAGTCTGAAAAATATGGTAATTTATATTAGAGGGAGCTCATGTAAGGCTTCTTGCCCCAGGCCCCCAAATTCTCTGTTGACGGGCCTGGTTAGAGGACAGTATTGTTCAAAAGTTCAATTTTTGTTTACAAATCTTTGCTATTGCTTAAAGCTGGTATATTTTATTGTGTATTTAGTATGGCCAGATTGATGTAATTGGTCAGTAGGTGCTAAGAAAATGTTGCTATAATTTCACTGATTGGGGCATGGGCATGTTATATACTAGTTATGACAGCAACTCTAACAGAAGCTGACTTCAGGGAAAGAATGCACCTGATTGGTCTGTTATTAATGTTTATATCTTGCTTTACATAACAAAAGCACCAGGATCATGTAGGGCGGGTTAAAACGAACATTTTAAGAATAGAATGACAAGCCTGACAGCAGAAGTTACGGAGAGAGAGGACGATGATTTTTCAATAGAAAGTGAATTGGAGCTATTGGAGTCGTTGGAGCTGGAACATGCCCATGCTTACTTCCTTTTCGTAATGTGGTGGCTAATGGGCTAGCTATGGCCATCGGTTTGTGGTTCAAATGCAGGAAGTTCTTCAAACAACTTTCCATATTTGGCTCGTTCCAGTCATTTGTAGCATGTGTCTCAAATGAGGAAGGGATCTCCTCACAGATATTCTCATAACATTCAGAACAAAATATACAGGGTGTCCCAAAAATGTGACATTATTATAAAAGCAATTATCTTGAAAACTTCTAAGTCCAGCTCAGTGAAATTTAACAGTTTAGGTGTTGAACATCATAAGTTTATTATGGGACTGAAAAATTGACATAATTTTAAAAGCAATTATCTTGAAAACTATTAAGTCTAGCTCAGTTATGATGTTGGTGTTGGTCTACCAGATCCTTTCAGAGACCTGCATTGGTCAATTTTTTTAAACCCGCACCCGCCCGCCTGTTAACTCGTGATTATATCAAATTTAAACCCGCAAACATTGATTGAGTTGCCAGAATTTTGCACCACACACGCCACAGACTGAACCAGGTCTAACCCAGGACTAACCTAGGACTGATTCCAGGACTAAACCAGGACTGAACTAGGATGGGCTCGGGGTTCTCTCTTCAACATTAGACCTGGTTTAATCCTGGTGTAGTCCTGGTTTAATCCGGTTTAATCCTGATTTTGTCCTGACCCACCCGTGTGTAATTACTATTTGCCTGCATAACCGCCTGTAAAATTCCAGAACGTTAAAACCCGCCCGTTTCAGCAACTATACCGCGGGTACCCGACCCAGTGCAGGAATCTGGATCTTTTGGCCCTGCATAAGCGGCTTTCCTCTTTAAATTTTTAGTACCAAGCCCAAATTTGCTTGCCGGTTGGTGAAGTTTTTGCAGATATTGTATTGAAGGCTTGGGTGACTGTGTGTGAGCAGAGTCCACTTGAGGAGAGAATGGCTAAACTTGAAAACAGAACCAAAATAAAACACTAAATATAAAATCTTGATCTGTTTCTATACATTCTGTGCCCACGAAATGATATCAAAGGTTTTCGGACACCCTGTATAACTTCTTTAATCTCAGAAACAGTTTAAGGTGCTTGTTATTCTGCAAAAATATGTGAAAGAGAGAAAGATGCATACATAACAGATAACTCAGTGCAGTCAGAGCTCAGTAAGCATGTAACTCAGCAAGCAAGGACAAATCAAAACAAAACACATTACAAGAAAGACAAAGGGTGCTGTTCCTCCTCTCTCCTTCTTTTTTACCCATAAGCCACCATGCTTGTTTCACGTTCAGACCGTGCATTTCTCCGATTCGGCCTGTCAGTCACTCCATCGGAAAACAGGGAGACACGCTACAGCTCCAGTCCCAAACGTCTCTGTAACGTGTTGTAAAAGTGTGTGGTCCTGACCTGCCAGGCAAGCCCCAAACTCCACAAAGCCTGTAAGATGTTCTGTAAGAGTTCAGAGTAAAACTGGTGATTAGTGTATTGTTCTTCTGGCATGAGACTTCACCTCCATAATTCTCTAACACAGGATACACAAGGTACTTCATATTTGTAACAGTAAACTGGCCACATGTGTATTTGATTTCCACCAGACGTTGCTTATAAGACTTGTGTTGTAGATTAGTCTAAACTCTTCAGAGACGCTGAAAAGGGAGCTGCTCACGTTATGCACTTGTCCTCATAACTCTGATGAAGTGCTTTTAGTCATGAGCCTGTGCAGCGGTAGGATCCAGGCTTCCAGACGTCACTGTAGCTTTGGTGGTAATGAAGTTAAATCTTTTCAAACGTTTTTAAAGGAACTGTATGTAGCCTGTGCTCTTAATAATGGTGAAAGGTAACAAAGTACAAAAGTAACAGTACAAAGGCAACCCTACTTTGCTTCAGTACGTTTTACAGTGGATACTTTTTACTTTTACATCACCAGTTTTGAGAATGTGTATCTGTACTTTCTACTCCACTACATTTTAGATCTGGATAAAAAAGTTAAAAGTACTTTGAAATGGCTCAGACTTTTTTTTAGCACATTTAATTTGCGTTTCCGTCCCAACTTTGAGCAAACCAAATATACAAAATCAGCTAGAAAAATAAAAAAATTCAGTGGAATCACTTAAAATGAGTTAATTTCTTTATGAAAATCACTAGCTTTCATCCTTAAATTGTTCTCAAGAGCTCTGCTAAATACCTACTACTACTAAAATACTACTAAATACTAAATGCTACTAAATAACTTTATGGTCTTTAAGTACATTTTTAAACAGGGACTTAAATAGATTTTTTTTTCATGTGATAGTTTTACTTTTACTTAAGTAACCTTTGCCCCTGTATCTGTACTTCTACTTAAGTAACAAAATTGACTACTTCATCCACCACTGGCTCATACAGTAAAAAACAACAACACACAATCACAACTGAGTCTGTGTTGCCAATACCTAAACCTGCAGATAGATTAAGAACACAAAGACTTCTTCAGACTGCAGCCTGAACTGACCCAAATCCGATTTTTTTCACCTCAATGTGACCTGTATCTGATCTTTTGACAGTATGAACAAACACAGATCCGATTTTTTTTCAAATACGACCCAGGCCACTATGTGTTCCTAAAACCCATACATCTTTTGACATGAGACTTCAGTTTGAACGGCCAGGTCGCATTCATCCCACCTACACGTCATCAACAAGCAAATAACGTCACTATTCTGCGCTGAAGTAGGCACAAATGTACACAAACATTCTTCCTGTCATACAAAAATTGTGTATGAACTCAATTGAAGTGAAGCAGTGAAGCACATTGCAATCGCACCACTCTTGGCGACTCGGCACCCACATGTTTCTTTCTATGGACGTTGCTGCCACTACCCCACAAAACACCACGGCCAAAAACCTCGTCCTTCTGCTTCTCAATCTCCTCCTTTAAACAAATAAGCTGTACATGATCTGACTCCGATACGACAGCTAACTTTAAAATCTCCAAGTGCTCAATGCTGCGTCCATACTTCCATAAACACTGAGCACACTCGCTGCTTGTGATGTCATCGTGTCCTCCAATGCTCATGCGGGACACTTTTGGCCTGTTTAACGTTCACACTGGAGATCACATACAAGTCACATTTAATTGGAAATGTGAACAACCGTGCAAAAAAATCAGATTTCACAAAAAAATCCGAATTGAACATTAAGCCCTGCAGTCTGAACGTAGCCTTACAAGTTTTTCTCATTCTCAACTTATATTACAGTACCAGACGCACTGATTAATGATTGTCTGCAGATAGTGAGGATTCAGATCAGAGAGAGAGTGTTTTTAGATTTAAACCAACTAGATTTCAATTTGGATAATCGTCTTGAGAACTAAAACACCAAATTATAACATGAGCATCTAGAGCCATCATGTCCAATGTTTTTGTAATTAAGAATAAATCAGCATTACAGTTGTTACCCGTGAAAGCTATGTTTGATTTGAGCATGGATCCTGTAAGTCATGTTTATGGAAGACCAAACCAGACCAAGTTACAGGTCAGATCTGTGGAGAGGCGACACCAGTCTGTCAGAATGTTTTTTTAAGGTATGTTTAAGCTATAAAACCACCTGTAACTGAATAAATGTAAGGTAGAACAGTTTAATGTCATATTTTGGAACATTCTAAGCAGGGCAATGACAAAGAAAAGAAGAAACAGACAGTGCACCTTAAACTGCGGTCATATGTTCACTGTACAGTTCTCTATTATTGTCCTTGGGGTCTTCTTACTCTTGTTGAAAAATGATGGTTAGAGCCTCTGCTTTGGAGGCGTTCCGTCCGTGTGATAAATAGATTCCGAACCTGATAGTTTAAT